TGGCTGCAGAATGTTGAAATAGCTATTGCATGCTGCCTTCTGTTATTAGGAGAGCACATGAGCACTTAGCTCTGCACTGGGAAGGGTAATCTTAAATGTGCTGCAGTTAATGTGCTTACTGGTTGTTCTAAATGACATGTTTACTCTTTTGACTTGCACTGTGTGCCTTGTCCAAGTTAAGAACTGTTACAAAGGGAATTGACTGTCTAGTACAGGCAGCTTTGAAATGCAGCAGGCTTAGAGGTTTAAATCACTACTATTTGAGTTAACTTTTGTCCTTTCTCTATCATGCTTTTGAATTGTTGCTTTGGGTGCCTGTCTGTACTACTCCATTCACTACCACTTCAGAGAGATGAGGGTTTGCAGTACACCAGCTCATGTGGCGCTAAGTGCTGTGCTGCTCAGCCATGCTGGTTCAGCTCTAGGAGCAATGCAGCTGTGACAGCTCTGAGCTTCAGTTCAACTTCTCTCCGGCAAAACAGCAGCCGTTTCCTTCTAGTTCAGGACTGCTTCTGTAGCTTTAGCTCAGGGATTTCTGTGCCACCTTGCAATGCAGGCGTGGATTAGACTTTCCACTAGTTCAGAGTGAAGCCAGATCTACCAGTTGCAGTGGTACTTGTGCAGCTATCTGGAACTCTCCTTCTCTAAAGTTGAACACTGATTTTGGAATCTGTCTCCTTTCAACTTTTCTCACAAATGCACTTTGCTGATAAACGCACAGCCTTTTATCTGCTGAGCAACACAGTGCTACTAACACAGTCCTGAAGGGAGGTCCAGAGGTTGCTCTGTCTGGTAGGAAAAGCTACCGTAAGTATAGCTGAAGTTTTGATCTCCTGGTCTTGCTACTCAAGATTTGGATTTGCTTTTTGCATATGTAATGAAGTAGCAATGGCAACAAAGAGGAGGCTGAAAGGAGCCAAAGGGGAAAGGAAGAATGAAGGTTAAAGAGGAGGGCTTTTTATACTGAATCAGTGAATGCCTTCTTGCTGTCAAATTTGGATTCTGTTACGTTGCTATGCACGTTCTAAGTATTGGATGGGATCCTGGCTCCATTTTTCTGCTTCCCCTCCCAATGCTGTTACAAGTTTACTGTTACATGGCTTGCATGTGCCTCCATGGTAAGCATGGGGTCTGGAATGAATGTTACGATCTCTGCTGTCTCCTCTGTCCTACAGGTCAATTAAAGGCCTACAACTAAGGTTTAATTTTAAGCTTCTATCTGCTGGTTTCTTCCAGTTCAATACAGTGTGACACCAGGATCTCAACTTAAGAATTCCGTTGCCCTCCTTTACCCCACAAATACAAAACCCTGGAGTTAAGGCTGTATGTATATATAGACCTTGCTTCTCTGCCTAAAAAATGCAATAAGCAAAGAAAATTGGAACTTATTTTTTGTTTAAAGTCTTAAATAACCCTGGAATGACAGTGTGTTATCTTCAAGAAACACTATTTTTGAAAAATTTTATAACGGAATATATTTGTTTCCCCATGCAGTGATGCTTTTTATTTTTTAAGTGTAGGCTTAAATGTCTCACTCAACTTCTGTATGAGGATTTTTGTATGTTAGAATTCTGCTCTCTTTGCGTATTATTGGAAGATAATTGTATGGTATGCACAAAATTGGTTGAGAAATAAATCTGAAAGCCCATGTTTCTTTGTCATGTCATCTTTGCAGTCTGATGAGCATGGGATTTGTTTTTCACATAAATTTTTGTGTCTACAGATGTAAACCTAGCAAGAAGTACAAAAGGGTATTCCAAGAGAAAAAAATGTCAAGATTGTTAAAGCATCCCTATGTAACACTACTTGTATTACTGTATTTGGACATCTTTTGCTATAGTCTTGAAATACACAAAATTTTTGTAGCTCTCCTTGTGACAAATGCTTAAATGGGAAGCTTGGTGTGTAAGATGGTCCTGTGCCCCAGCAAGAAATGAAAGCTTTGTTTCTCACTGCCTATCTCAGTTTGAGGGCTTTGCTTTTTTGAGAAGCAGTAGAATACAGAGTTTGGTTTCTATTATCACTGCCTTGGTGTAAAGACTCTTAAGCTGTTCATTCATATCAGGCTCCGACGTTTGTCACTTATCTCGCAGTTTTTCATTTTGGAATTTGTTTTCATGCCAGCTCTCTATGACAGGTAAGATCCCACTTTCTGAGCTGGAAGTGCATGAGACAGACTTCACTTTCACATCCTTCTTTGCCTCAGCATTTGACTCCTTGCCCCGGATGTTCCTGTAGACAAGAACTACTGGAACACAAGTGTACATCTACCAGGCAAATGGCGTGCAATCGAAAAATAGCAGTAACTGTTTAAGAGGAAAAAAAAAGTCAAGCTCTATGGTTGCAAAGGGACTGAAAAGCTAATGAGGAGAGGGAGAGAAAAATGGAAAAACAGAAATTTAGCTTTGCCTGTTGAGCAGAATTTATGAAAGCAAATGGAAGGACCTCAGGTACTCTGTGACTAGTTTCAGGGTCACGGGATCTGGCTTTCCTGAAACAAAGGAATGAATTGAGCATGTCAGAAGGGCTTTTTTTTGTTTCTTTTCTTTTTTTTTTTCTTTTTAAAAATCTCTTGAGATAAAAAAAATTGAAAACAGGGAATAGAGGAAATGTGGCCAAATGTCCTGGGAGAGTACATTCTCTTCTCTCCTGTACATAATCCATGAAAGCATAAGCCTCTGAAACAGAATTATACAATCAGACATTAGTCTTGCTCAGTGGAAGTGGTAAAACTAAGCCTTGAATGTTTTCATTGTGCTATCTGCTCCATTTTTCCGTTTGTTTTCCCATAGATCATTCTTCAGTGCTGACTATGCTTTTCTAACTTGCACATCAGTTGGACTTCCTGTTCCTCCATTTCCTTGAGAAGCCCAAGGATGGCTGATGCTTTTGCTGCACAAGACAGTGGGGATTTTCTTCTCCAGTCTCCAGAGGACTGAGTGTTTGGGTGGTAGCAGCCAAGTAGAAATGGAAATAGAGGTGCTCAGGACAAGGCAAGCAGGAGGGAGATGCGCTGGGTTGGGTTGCAATCACTTTTGGAGCAGTGCTGCTAGAAAATGCCTGGAAGAATACCTCTAGGGAAGTCCTACTGCAGCCTGAGGGTTCTGCACAGATCATGGCCAGTGGTGCTGGCCTCTGCAACTCGCTGGCTTTTGCCTTGATGGATCTCAGGTGGGATGGGCTACCGAGTTTGGGAGGTGACCCAACAGTCCTGTGGTGTTGGCATGTCTACCAGGGCACTAGGACTTCCAAACTTCCTGTAGCAGCTGGGTCTCTGTTTCTGTTTAACCCTAACACAGCAGCACAATTCCTCCCCATCCCTGCCTTGCTAATGCTTCAGAAGGATTGGGAAAAGAGTTTGGCAAGGGTAATGTGTTTACCACAGAAAATTTCAAGCATCTGAAACATTGCACATTATTGATGTGTCACAATGATAAGACAAAACACTGTTGTAAAACACTAAGAGATAGTTTAGTCAACTGATTTTCAAAGTCCTTACTGAAGTTTTTAACTAATGCACTGCTGCTCTGATAACCACAGTTCATACGACTTGCCCTCATTATTTGTTGTTGACTTTCATAAAGCTTTTCCATATTCGATCACAACACCACACTCAGAAAAAGTTCTTGATAATAATAAATCAGTTTTCTTTTCTTTCTTTTTACCTCCTACTTATCTGCAGTTTCTTAGGAGGATGTTCTAATCAGGTTTCCCTTGACACGCATGGCTGTTGTAACTTACTTTGTTAAAAAATTCTTCAAAGGACATTGTTTATTAATATTCTACTTCTTGCAGGAGATTCATAACATCTTTTCTACACTTGACCCAGTTTGTAAAGGAGGCTGTATGTCTTTTGAGTCTGTATCTTGGATTACAAGAAAAAATTAATTAGAATATGGCCTTTGTCTGAGATGGGAACTGACACGCTTTTATTAAAATCTGTAATCCATCACAGTTGAAGATTACAGAAGATTTTTTTATGATTCTTATTTTTTTTTCTAGATCAACCAATACGTGTGAGTAAAGAGATTATCCTAAGCACTTATGTTTTAAATAACTTGTCAGCATGCTAAGATGATGAGTGCGATTACAAACATCCCTGGAAGAAACCTTGAACAACAGCTGATTCCTTGGATTATCATTTTAAAATGTCTGCAAAACAGTTTAGGTTGAAAGGAACAGTTATATCAAGATGGGATTTGAGAAAGGAGGATTCCTTTTATTGCTCTTGGTCCTTATAGGCTTGAAAACTGTAATACAATTTAGTAGCCAGAAACCTACCTTGTATGTGCAACTATAGGCAATTGCAAATACATGAATAGAGGATACCAAAAGAAAAAGCAGAAAGTTATGTGAGGCTCCAGGCTGGTTTTCTTACAGGAGGCCGGAGAACTAGCAGATGCACAGTGCAGTTTCTTATGTTGTGTGCTAATGGTGAAGAGCAGAAGTAGAAGGTAAGAAGATTATGGAATATGATTTGGAAATGACCATAAGATCACAATTAACCTCTTTCCTACATGCGCCCCAGGAGATTAAGAAAGGAGTGTCTGAGTGCATGCTCTGTTTTTGGGATGAAAGAGGGCAGTCTTATAGCACAGCTGTCCTCCTTAACCTAGATGCGAAAATTCAGGGTTCCAGACAACCTGAGTAGTTCAGAGGAAGTAGCAAGCAGCCCTCAGGCCACCTGGGAAGTGAACGTATTGCCTCACTCAAAGTGCAGTGTGATGCACCTCTCTGCTATCAACTTCCTGCCTGAATGCTGTGAAGGGAATGCACGTGGAATCCCACGGTGCTGCAGCAATGTGTGTTTTTTAGGACAATGAGTGGGTTCTGTACCTTTGTAGCTTTTACCACCTGCAAAATAAAACAAATGTAATGCCAAAAAAGAGGGAAAAAAGAGTAAATCCTATTTCTCAACGGGGTTTAACTTGGCTAAGGGATACATTGTAAGGTACAACTCTCCCAGGCCACACTGCAGACTGTTTACTGTGTGTGGTAGACTGTGAGGCACAGATTGGAATATTTATATTTATTTTTGCAATGCCATAGGTAAAAACAATTTAACAATGCCAAGTACTGGTGTTATTCTCATAAAAACTTCTCATTTCAAAACAAATGATTTCTATTCCTCACAAAAGGTTAAAATCACATGCAGCTATATGAAGGTTAATTGCTTAATATGCACAATTATATATCAGAAGACTTTGTTAAAATAAAAACATACTGGACTACATCATTTTAACAAGGCAATTACACAGAACTAGAAAACTGACTCTGTAGTAAAATATAAAAATCTACAATTATAAATATAAATTTGGTCCATGGAATCACTATAGAAGTAGCAGTATTTACAGTAAGTATCAGATTACTATGCTAAATGTCTAATTGAAGTCTTAAAATGCGGAATGTTATGGAGAACAGTATTTTATTTACATTCCACTATATTAAAAGTTATATTTCTAGCAAATGTAGATTGTTATAAATACAGCAAATAAATCAAATACTAAAACCATGACGTTTGTTTGTAATTGAGAATCCCCTAACACCTATAAATATGATAATTTTAAGTTAAAAGTAAAGCCAGATAAATCAAAAACTAATACTGAAAAAATGTACCACAATTCAATTCTTAGAAACACTGTAAAAGTCAATCAAGTTAGTCCAGACAGAACAACGTATTACAAGAAATCGTTCAAGAAAAGGCACACATTGTTAATGATAAAAGTTCCTCAGTAAAGTCATATGTCACAGAAATGACTTTGCTGGAACAAAAGTTGGGCTGATTACATATTGAGTAACTGGATAGATTTCCCCCCACTAAGTAGAAAACTGAAAAGAATAATGGTAAACTCCAGATGTGACTGACGTGGTGCAAGTGTTTGTGTGTTCAATTTGCCTTGTTACTTAAACTAAAGATTCTAAACTTTCAGCTGCATTTCCATCTGGCAAAGCTGAGCCATTACTGTCCATAGATGCTGAAGGGTTTTCCTCTTGCCTTGTGCTGACAAGGCTGAGAATCGCTTTGTACAGAAACTGGTACTGTTCCTAGGGAAGAAAAAAGAGTACATTCAGTGTGTTTTTGTAAATAATAGACTATAATACCTTGTAATGCTATTATTTGAAAGTAATTAACAGCAGATGTGTCAATTTGTTAACGTAGTGTGCTCCACACTTTGTTGTACTGCTTAGCTGCTTCATTCATTTTCAGACTAATGGCTCCTCCTGCACAGTGTGGATCACAACATTAAGGAGCACAATACAGGTGGGGGGAAAATAAAAACAAAGCATTTTTAAAGTAATATTCTGTGCTAAATATGATCCTTGTAAAGTCTGTTGCAAAGTTCCCACAGATTGAATGGAGGCAGGATTATGGCTACTACTGAGCCGTTGGCTTTCTTTTAATCCTTGACTGTGAAACCAGGTTAACTACTTCAGGGTCTGCCTGGAGTAGGAATGTATTCCTTTTGGGATTGAGCCCATTATTTACATGATACAGTGCAGATTTAAATATGATGGTGGCAGCTCTATATATTTGGAATAAGTCCACTTGATAACCACATAATATTTAACTGGAAATAATCTGATTCAGAATAAGCATCAGGTCCTCTACACACCTTTGGAAGACATTTTTGATTAACCTATGCAGAAATGAACACACCAATGGTTCAATAATGTTGCCCTAGGACCTAAGCACACTAACAGTACCACACACCCTAGAAGAACTTTGCACATATTTTGGTTATTACTTACAATGTCTGTAAAGACTCCAGGCCTCATCAAATTTATCATCTTTGCTACCTGGTAAACATCCACCGAGTTCTCATTTTCCAGTTGATGCATGAGTGTTGTCAGAGCACAGAAAGTGCCTGCTGTCACCCCTCCATGCCTTTGTAAAGTAACAAACAAAACGCAAAATCAGGTTTCCACAGCTAAAGGAAATACCACAGTTAGGTGATGAATTTCTGTGTTGCTGACATTTTTCTGAAATGGGACACAACTTCACAGCTTTGGGCTACAACTGCTGGAAAATCTTCAGGAGACAGACTGAGCTGTATTTTCCCACAGTCCTCTTCTAAGCAAATCCTGAAGGCCTCCGGGCCTGGTTACAACATTTCAGTATTTACGGCCAATGTTAAGCATCTGGAGGAGAGTAAGGTGCCTCGTCTCAATACTCTCTCTTCCCTCAATAGCACAGAATGAAACCCTGACTGATTTTCTCCACAGGTGCCCAACTCAGCAATTATCTGCAATATCATAATGATAGAACTGAGAACATTCAGAGTGTGACGAAAGCAAAATGTTTCCCTTGTGGGTGCAGCTGACACAGAAAAATAGCACTGCTGCTAGGGGTAGGCTTTGTGCCTTATTTCAGTGGCTTTCACACTAAATGAGGAGAAAGAATGGCTCTACACAAAAACAAGACCAACTGAAAGCCACAGAGCTTACTCATCATGTACAATCATGGGTCCGTCACGGTTGGATGTCTCTTCTTTGATGATGCTGATCAGTTCAAAGGTTTTGCTAATAGGACTATCAGGATTTGGCCATTTTGGACACTGAAAATGCCTCACTTCGAGTACATAGTCATCCTACAAGAGTGAAAAAAGCAAAAATCAGTTTGGTGAAAGATAGTTTTCTTATTCTTGCCTCTATTCCAGTCTGGCTCCAGATTCCATATACAGAATCCCACCACTATGGTGGTTGGACTGCCCTATTCAGTGTCACCAAATTACCTACAGAGTTTGCTTACTCCATGGGTTCTTCAAAGCCATTGAATTTTAGCACTCACTTACCAAAAGAAGATGTCACAAAATATAAGTATTACCTTTAACAAACCAAATCCTGAGAGTTACAGTTTTATAGCAGTGTTACCTGTGTAGCTTCTAAAATAAAGTCTTGGATTATGAGCTTTTCCTCATTAGACAGACACTTGTGTTCTTCAGCAATCATAGTAACTTTGAAAGTCTCACAGTTTATAGGCTCGTCTTTGTTAGGCCAGTACACAAATTCATCTTCAGCCTCAAGGAGAAGAATAAAAAGAAAGGAAATGATTAAATGATTGAATACTTTCTCATCTCAACTATGATTTGTTGAGATAAGGATCTTCAGATTTGGATTTTACGCTCAGTATAATATTACTACTTTTTAAATTGGTTTTTACAAAATCCAAGATATTGTCTCATAACCTGCATATTTAAAAATGTTAAAATTACTAAAATTCATATGTAAAACCACAGCCACCAGCCATCAATCTTACCATATTCTGGCTATCAGGGAGCATGACTATTAGCTGGGCATTATGGTCCCATATCATTCTCCAGAAATCCTTGATAGTGTGTAGTAAGGGATGCTGGGTAATAATGAATTCATTACTTTGATAATAACCCTGCAATACAAAACCATAGGAGTCAGAATTGACACCCAACTCTTAACACTTAAAGGAAGGTTTTTTCTGGATAGAAACAGAATTCTAGAAAATAAATTCTAGAAATGTGCTTCCTTTGGTTTCCTACAAATATCAGAAGAAAAAACTTTAATCACAGTATTTTCCACATGAAAAGATTAAAATCAATTACACTGAAATGATTTATAAAACTGAAGAATTTGAATAAGAAAATATAAAAGAAATCAGTAGATACTGAAAGATCCAAATCAGAATGAAAATGCATCAGCTCAGTTGCACACGCTAATTGTTTTACATTAGTCAGGCTTCTAATGTTGCTGGCAACATGAAACAAATAAAATATTTGGAACATTTGCAAAAATCCCAAGCAGTGCCTTAATCTGTATAGATGTTAGACCATCTGGTTACCACAAAAGCTAACTGCTTTGCACTCTCTGCAGAGAGACAATTCCTATCTCCTTCCTGAATATCCAGGGAGCATTTACTCTCTCAGTTACTGAAGGGGGAAAGAGTTAAGGAAACCCAGGGAACCAAGAGATAATGAAAACCTGTTGAGTTATGCTGCCTTGGACTACACCAACTGCAAAAGCTGATGTAAAGCCTCCGCCAAGATGAGCAGGCAGGAAGGTAAACCACAGTATAGCCAATAAAAGCTAACTTTGAGATTAACTAGAAGCGTTAGTTAACGCTTCTAGTTAATCTCAAAAGATTCTTCTATAATCAGATTTACTAATTCTTAAAACTATGATGGGATTTCTCATCTTACTGGTAGTCAAAATGCAATGCACTTAATTGAACTTAAAATAGCAATAATAATAATAATACACTTTCGGGGAAGTAACTCTTTCAGGGAAAGAGTGAATAATGGAAGAAAGGAGGTTTCCAACTCATTACTGTGTCTCTACAACGTGGGTGCTTGGCAGCGTTGGAAATACCTATAGAATGGGATGCTATTTTCAACAGCACAGTTAACTGACTTACCATAATATAGGAAGCATTGATGTAGTCTGTGCCTTCACCAGACAGTGATGAGATACCCACTCTAGATCTTTCCACTGTAAAGAAAATGTTATGAATTAGTGTGCATGTTGTATTGCCTGTATTGCATGTATATTTGTATTACAGTAATTATCCCAAATGTCTCACAGAATGATAACAAAACTAAACTCCATCTATCAGGATGAAGTGTTATCCAGACATCTATTTGATTGTTGTATGTATTGTATTTGGACAAACCATTTCTTCATCAGAAGTTCTTTACAAAACATTGTTCCACACCAATGCAGGTATCTTCAGATCTCGCCAAGGAAATGTTAAAGGTTTGACACACACTATTCATAAACATTTTTCCACCCAGAGAAACCAATTTGAACAAGCTTACCAGGAATGATGGATGAAGTTCGATTCTTTTCCCTGTTACACTGTTTGAGTGCAGTTGAGTAATCGCACTGCTGTGTGTTAGACTGGCTCAGTAACTGAAACAATGAAGTTAAAAAATCAGGTCACTGTGCAAAAGCCATTATTCCATCAGCTGCATTAAATAGAGGGATGCACATATTAACTTCAGAATCTATTTATCTGGCTAAACTATTTAGCAAATTACCAGAACCTTTTCACTTTTTTTTTACACTGGATCAAACCATGCTTACGGAAATGCCTCTTCAAATTGTTCCCACATCCAGACCCCCTACTTCTTGTAGCTACTCTTGTTGCTACTTCTGTTTTGCCTGCACATAACATTAAATAATTCTGGCAAACAGTAAACGTCCACACAAAAAAATTGTTACACAGCCAGTACTGCCCCTGATGTGAGGCTGCCCGAGGTATACTGGTGATGAGCTTCCTGATTTTGTCTTGAAATCTGTGAAGCATATAGGACTGATACAGGAGTCTCATTGTCTTGCTTGTTTCAACTAATAGCATTCAATCAGACAAAACACCAAAATATTCATTTACTGCCTGCTGAAGTGACTCCTATTTTCAAGCCATGGCCTTATATTGAGGGGAATATGATGCCTGACCCATATAGATCACACCATTATCAGAATAGGGATCATCATGCAAAGACGTGGTTAGATTTTGCAAAACCTCCTTACTGGCCTGCTTCTCATACTCTAGTTTTTAGAAAAAAAATCTGAAGTGCGTGCAAATAATCTTAATGTTCTGACTATGTGAATTTGTCAACATCTCCAAATTTAGGTTTTACAGTTACGAGCTAATGGATGTTGTGCTGATATACCTAATTTCAAGTCACTGATGCTCACAATTACCAAGCTTTTTATGTGACTGCCTCAGCTCACCTTGAACTGCTTCTCCAGCCGGGTCTTTCCTGTTGGTCCAGGTATCAAGAGGGCATTAACATAGGCATGAATATGAGTCTCAAGGACTTCTGTTTCTTTACTGAGAATTGCTTCAACTAGTGCATCATGAATGAAGATGTATTGCTCCTACAAAAATGAAAGCAAGCACATAAATGCCAATTATGCTCAGATTCCCCTGGACATCTCTTGTTGAGCTGACGTGTCTGACATGGTTGGCATTTCTTCACAGTTTGCTGCTGCAGGGCAGTCTTCTCAAAAGGGGTCCTTCGCAGTGAAAGCTGTTCCTCTCCAGGGACTGTACACATTTACAAGTGATATTGAACTACACACACAAGGTATATATGGTACAATGCCAAATCCCCACCACCTGCGAAACGTTACATTCACATATATATTCATGTTTAACTCAATAAAATAAAAAATGCAAGCATAACCTGAAGTCAAATTTTCAAGTCAGCTTGTTATGTGGCTCTCCCTCTCACTGTTACAATAAAGCAATCACTCCCAGTTCCTACTGCTATCTTCTATTTTCTCTCTCTCATCCTTTGGAAGAAGAGCCCATGCTGCTGTTGATTACCTTTTTTTTTTTCTATTGAAAGGCACTGTGGAATCTAAACACCTGTTCCTGAAACCTGAAATAGACTTTGAAAAGCCCTGCTGTTGCCCTTACTGTTTTCTTCTCATCTTTCACTATTCTATATATAATATTCAGTTTAAATCAGCTATAGATCATCTTTGGTTGAAACAACTTTCTTCCAACTTATTACTGTTCAACTGTTTGGTCACATTTAGTAAAGATCTGAGCATGTAAAAATGGTGTTTCCTTTAAAAATCCACAACAAAAATGCATGCCCTGCCAAGAAAGTGCTGCATGGGGGAAGCATGATTTATGCAGGTCTTCTTTCTTCTGAGTCCTCCCTAATAAACTGGCAAGGCCTACAGATAAGTCATTTCTAAGTGCATTGCACCAAGTGAGCCTACAGTACAGCACTACAAAAATAAGGGAAGTGAAGGGGAAAGTCCAGTCTGGCGACTGACTGCCTGTCTGTCTGGCAGTGCCAAAATGAAGACTGTATTCACAGAAATGTGAAAATTGCTAAGTCTCATTAAACAGATATTTGTCTTACCTCAGTCTGCACCAAATAGTTCCTTTGGGTACGTATGTGTTTTAAGAATCCAAATATGTTGACTGTCCCCTCATGCTGAATTTGCTGCAGCATGCTGTCTAACACTATGTAAGTGCCTGTCCTTCCAACACCAGCGCTATAAAACAAAAAAACATTCTTGAGCCTGCATTACATGAGTCATGGAAAGAATTGCTTCTTATAAACAGCTTTTTCAACAAATTGGTCTGTAGGGAAGCTTTTGCTCTACAAATTTTATTATTGTGTGATTATATTACTTTGCTGAAGCACCAAGGCTAGTAATGAAGAAAAATCTTCCCAACTCATCTTTTTCTTTGTGAGGGAACAGATCTAAGGGTCATTTTCTTGAATGACTTTTACAGCATCAATTGAAAAAGAACAATGCGGTTTCCTGCAGGTCTCCAGTTTTCAGCCTTTTGATACTCCTTAGGATATTTTGTCAATTATACCCAGAAAGTATGGCATATGGCAGCATTTGGGCACAGTCGATGTGCTCAAGTTCTTCTATGTTGAAATGTACACCACTTTAAAGGGAAAGCTGCATTATGACACCCATTACAGATGCTGCCTTTCAAAGACACGGGACTGAGGGAAATCCTTGGAGGTGGCAGAGCCACTGAAGGTACATCTGTAGAAGAAAAAGTTAGTACTCTTCAGATATGGCCAACAGGGCAGGCAGGGGTTGTGTCCCTTCTGACAAAGGGGAGATGCAGAAGAAAAGGTTCATCAAATGTTAGGAACTCTGACTCATTTAACATAACAATGGCTGTATTGTTGTGGTGGTTTTTTTTTGTTCATGAAACATCTGGGTCAGGTGTACTAAGTCAAAAGGTCTTCTTTTTGTTTTGTTTTCTTGTCACACATAGGAATTACGCAACTGCAATTCCACTCTTGGTGATGTAGAGCTGTTACATGTATTGGTACAGGGCAGCAGCAGCATGCTGGGTCTGCATGGCAGCTTGCAGGCAGATGCAAGCCCAGTCCATATGTTCTAATTCAGTCACCCTATTTCTTCCTTAGAGACAGCACAAAGCATGGGTGGCATGAGCTCTGTCTGCTGTAAAAAAACTCCTCAATAAGCATGGTATAAAACTGAAAGGCCCAGGTTATCAACAAATTGGTAGACACACCAAAAAATATAAGGATTATCAGACACCATTCCTATTTGTTATGAAAGAGAAAACATGAAAAGTACCAAAACGCAAAAATAGCTAAATAAAGTTTCATGTAGTTCCTCACGTGTGTGCTCCACACAGCCTGTAAAGATAAGTAGAAGTTAAATTTCTAGCACAATTCTCCTTTGCAATGCCATAGTTGCTGGTAACAGGTGAACTCAAAGCTGTACAGAATTGCCTACAGACAGAGGTAAGTTATAGCTGGGACCCAATGGAGATGTCTGAATGAAGCCACACAACTGACCCCTGTTCACTTCTAAAAAACACATTGATTTATAATGTACTGCTGATTTCTCAGCCTGCTGGCACAGATCTCAGCCTTGGTATTTTGGGGAAACCCTTGTTTTGAACCCCTTGAGAACATACAAGATGCAGATAGCAACAGAAAACCAAAATGTAGAATTTTCATTTTCTAAGCTAAAAAGATATTTCAGTCACATTAGATCATCCTAGAAATAAAATATCTTCATTTTCAGCATTTGTGAGGCGACTTTACCTGTTGGCTTCCTCAGAGTCAGCTCCAGAAGGACAGAATTCATGAGGAGGTTCTCTTTCCAAATGTTCCATCAAAGGTGAGGTACTACAGTGGAAAACCAGAACCTGCTTATATATTTTACAATAACCCGGTCCTCCACGGGCATTGTGAAGTCATTCCAGGCCCTACAAGCCCTTTTAAAGCACTGTTCCCTGGGCTGCCCAGTTCAGTGAGCACTGACAGAACACCTGCCTGCACGCCACAGCACATGCAGACCTCACACCACTCCCCAGAGTGCTCCTCTATTGCAAATGACTGCTAGAGAGCAGAGCAGTGTTAACAACAGCAGAGTTGTAGTTCAGCCAGGAAGAGTGTGAGTCTTGTTTTGTGTACAGAGCTCCTCTTAGAGTATCCCTGCACCAAAGAATGCATGAGCCAAAAACATCCTAAGGATATACATTGGCGGAAAGGAAGCTTTACTGCTTTACACATATCTGATAAGCTCATAGCAATCAAAACAGTGGTAAAGAAATGTGCTAAAAAGTAAAAAAGGAAAGTATTTTTGCAAAAAAATAAAAAAAAAGAGAACGTAGTGCAGAGCAGCGTGATCTTGTTTACAGCCATTATGGAGGCGTATAGAAATTGTACAGAGAGTTGATTAGTTGGCCTTACCAAAGACAGAAGTACCAGCTAAGAAATTAATCTTCTTCCATCAGGAGTTGTTAAGTGTGAGAGTGAAATTTTGCTTAACCCACCACTGAAAAATTCTTTTTTTCTGCAAAACAAAAGTGGAGTGAACCTTACGGCGGTAAAAGCACACCTGCAATGAACCACAATCGGCCCCACAGCATGGCGCTTGGCGTGCGATGCCTTCCGCACGAAGGTGAGCACGGGCAGCGTGTACTCTGGAACACCCATGTCAGGCCACTGGGTATAATGGTACTGAGTTACTACACGTCCACTAGACCTCCCTTTCTGGGAACCCTGCAACAGAAAGATAATTCCGTACAGAAGCAGCCCACATTGCAAAGACAACTCTTTGTAATTCTACTTATGTACCTGATATTTCCAGAAAACTATCTCTAGTTAACACACCAAAGTACTACCTAGTTCTGAATATTCCATTGCTCAAGAGGAATAGCAAGGACCAGCATTTCCGTCTCATCGATTTGTCCATTAATGGCAAAAATGAATTGTCACTCACCGTCCCTTAGAAAGACGTAGTGAAAGGCTGAGAACACTGGAAAGGTAACAAATTACAACTGCTATTAATATTCACCAAATTATCTGCCACTCATATTCTCTGCCAGGTGGGTAGAAAGGATATGATTCATTTCACCCAGCCTTAATGATGTACAGGGGAAGTAAGCTCATCCGGGATGCTTTTCTAAGCCCATTGCTTCATTGGCAACTCAAAGATGGTGTTACCTCAACCAAAGCAAGTCATCTTATCCAAAGCAAGTCATCTTATCCAAAGAGAGATTCCTAAAATAGCTGGGAAAATTACTTGACAATAGATGCTATATGTTATTCATTAATTGTACAGGGAGGCTGAGAGACTAGATATTTAAGATTTAGATGGCTGAAATGAAATAAGTTCTAAGAACTTCCCTCAAAGCGGGCAATTCCTTTTGTAGCCATTCCCTTTTGCCCAAATTATATTTCCAGGATGCCATTGCTGAGCATGCTGTTTCTGATTTCAGTAAGGCAAGGTCTGGACTCATCTGTTTTGTAGACAAGTAAAACTTACTTCCTTAAAAAGGAAAATTGATAGCTGAGGTTGATGATTTAATTCAACCCACATTTTCTGCTACCTGATCTCATTCTGAAAATTTGTCCTGCTCACCAGCCTAAGTCCACGTTGGCTCTCCAGCGTGATCACATCCTGATCTCTGATGGTCATACACCACATTAGAACTACAGGCCAGTATCTCACTGCCACAGAATGGCTGAAGATGGAAGAGACCTCTGGAGGTTCAAATCCTGCTCAGGCAAGAACATTCAGAGCAGGTTGCCCAGGGCCACATCCAGATGGCTTCTGAAGATCTCCAAGGAGGAGCCTCAATGACCTCTGGGCAATCTGTGCCAATGCTCTGTCACCTGCTTGGTAAAAAAGTGCTTCCTAATGTCTAGATGGAACTGCCTGTGTTACAGTTTATGCCTACTGCCTCTTGTCCTGTCCCTCGGCATCACTGAAAAGAGCCTGGCTCCATCCTCTTTACATCCTCCCTTCAGGTATTTACACAGGCTGATGAAATCCCTGAGCCTTCACTTCCCCAGGCTGAACAGTCCCAGCTCTCTCAGCCTCTCCTCACAGACTCTTCCCAGTGTGTTCACACTGAGAACTGGACATCACTCCAGGTAAGACCTCATCAGTGCTGAATAGAGGGGAAGGATCACCTCTGTGGATCTGTTAGAGATACTTTGCCTAATACAGCCAAAAATATCATTAGCTTTTTTAATAGCAAGGGCCCATTGCTGACTCATGTAACTTGGTGTCCTCTTTTCTGCCATGCTGCCTGCCAGCTGGCAGCTCTCAGGTGCTGTTCTCTACCTTTCTCCTAGTTAAACTTCATGAGATTTTTTGTCAACCCTTCTCTCCAGCCTGTCAAAGTCCTTCTGGATGGCTGCACAGCCCACTGGTGAGTCAGCCATTCCCTTTAGTTTCATGTCATCTGCAAATCTGCAAATTTAATGAGAGTGTACTCTACCCCATGATCCAGATCGTTAATGAAGGTGTTAAACACAACTGGACTCAGCACTGACCTCACTCATTACTGGCATCCAACTAAACTTTGTACCACTATCTCCGCCACTAGCTGAACTCATCTCTGAAGTACTGGACAAGCATCTTGGCTGCCTGAGACCTACAGCATTCAGGTTTACCTGTACAAAAGAAAACTTCCAAAATCTTCCTTGAAAATACCATGAGAAAATTTTACAACTTCTTTTTGCCTAACCTACATTTTCAGGACATCACAAACCTTTTTGATCTTCGTGTTTCTAAGAGTAAAATTCCTCACAGTGTAATAGGCAAGTACATGGACACTCTTCTGAGTAACCAAGAAGTTCCCATATTCTTCACTACCTTCAGCAGGCCAGTACTGGTCACACTTTCTCTGTTAGAAATCAAAGGAGAAACAGAAAGAAAGAAAAATGTCAAATGATCAAGATTCAAACATTGAAATTTATGAGCACAGTCTACCACAAAAATGTGCAGGAACTCCCTATATATCACACATCTAATAGACATAATACTCAAAAGAGAAAAAAACTAGGTGCATTTCTTTTGTGTTGTAGAGATCTAACAACTATGCAAAGATGTATTTATACTTCAAAAACCAGAGAAGTTTAAATCATATTATCAGAGCAAAAGTACTGTGGAACTTGCCATAGTATAGGCACTGTAAAATCTAAAGACAGGAACAGATAATCTATAGAAATAGGAATACATTCAAGTTAGTAGTGTCATATATGGCTTTTGGTTGATTCATAGCATGGGTAGGTAAAAGTGAGCATGTGTGTGACAGTAATATATGATACAGAGCTGTGATGCCCAGTCCTCCTTCTCTAGAAGTACTAGAAGATACATGCTTACAGTGTGGTGTTGTATATAAAGTGGTGGTACCTCAGCATAGCCCTTTGTCTGCATGTACGGTATCTGTACCCTTTGTTAGATGCTTAGTCAGTCACATGATAAGAACTTGAATGCATTTTAGGCATCGCTGCCAGTATGTGGTAAAGGTAATACAATGTCTCTTCGTTTCACACATACATTGCACATGCATACTCCCATCATGTAACATCCTCTGATAGGAGCTGACCTGGATAGACATGCATTTGGTCATATACTAGGAGAGGATCCCATGGGAGATTAACAGGGAGATGCCAATAAGTGTTGTGAAAAATTCTCATGAACTATAGACTTCTCCTTTCCAGGGTTGAAAGAACAGAGTGAAACATGGTCCAAGGCTCACGCCATGGTCACTCCTGAATATAAGGCTTTTTTCACTAAAAGACAGTAGTTTTCTTTTCTTTTCTTTTCTTTGCTTTGCTTTGCTTTGCTTTGCTTTTTTCTTTCCTTTTTCCTTTCCTTTCCTTTTTTCCTTTCCTTTCCTTTTTTCCTTTCCTTTCCTTTTTCCTTTCCTTTCCTTTTTCCTTTCCTTTCCTTTTTTCCTTTCCTTTCCTTTTTTCCTTTCCTTTCCTTTTTTCCTTTCCTTTCCTTTTTCCTTCCCTTCCCTTCCCTTCCCTTCCCTTCCCTTCCCTTCCCTTCCCTTCCCTTCCCTTCCCTTTTTTTTTCTGTAGTTAGAACATTCCTTTCAAAACCTCAGTCATTTGCAATTGAGTTTAAATGTTTTCTTTATACTCATCTTTATACTTCCATAACCAACCCTAGTACAAGCAACTACTGCAAACAATTTCTTTTTGCTCAAAAATGTCTAAAACAGATTTCTGAAATAGAGAAAGGAGCCTGCTAGAGGTAGATCTATCAACATCAGAGAGAGAAAAAAGTACTCATACCCTTCCTTTCTCAAGGAGATTAGTTATCATCACAATAACTTCTACGTTATGTTCCCATATCATTCTCCAGAAATCTTCTGCTGTTGATTTTAGTGGTCCTTGAGCTGCAATGTAGGCTTTTGGCTTGTTGTAGCCCTAAATTGAAATGTAACAAATGACACTTGTCAAATCACAGTCCCCAAGCAAAAGGAGGTTGGGAGGAGTACGTGACATGTCATTTATCTATTTTTAAAGTATATCAAAAGCTTTAAAGTACTTTTGAATTTATAACTCAAAATCACAGAAAGCCTGTGGTACCAGATGACATCTGAATGCAACTGTTATGTCAATGTTTATCGTTCCAACAAATGGGATATATATTCAAGTGTCCATGTTCTGGCAGAATGTTGACATGATAGTGATTATAAGACATCTGTTACGACAGTAGTTTAAGAAATGAATCAAGATCATTCGCATGTAAATTACTGGGTAATGAAAACTGAAGAAATGGTATCTCAATGAGGCTCGCAGCCAACTAGCATCTTCCTCTTGTGAGATTATCTCAGACAGAAGAATTAACCACTTACCAAAAATAATAAACATTCAGATGTGAAATGTTTCTGAAATGACTCTGATATGACTGAACATTTTTTAGTTTCATAAAGCTCTTCATTAAGCTATAGCTGCTGCAATATCAAGATGGATTTGAGAAAGAAATGGGCATTACCTCTCTAATCGCATTTTAAGGTTATACTTTTAACTTTGATAATTAAAGTGTTGTGGTATTTTTTAATATTGTGATTTTTTACAATTATATCTATTCACCTCCATACACTGCTATTCACAGAACAGGCTGATTGGTGGATGAGCTGTCAGACAGAAAAAGGCACTTACATCAACATAGTTGGCATTAATGTAATCAGTCAGTTTTCCATCCTTTTCTGCAAGCTGTGCTAGTTTGACCCTGGTATGATCATCTGTAGTAAGACAAGGGAGAAAACAAGCATATTTTCTTGCCAGAATCACAGAATCACAAAAATTGGAAAAGACCTCCAGTTCTACTGTCCACCTATCACCAATATCATAATCTTTCTGTATGAAATCTTTTTTTAAAATACCAAAATATATTTTTATAATATATATGAGTAAGAAGGTGACAGGCACATATGTAAACATCCCGTGCTTAGCCAGGAATCAGATTAAAAATTCTAGTTTACAGAAAAATAAGTTAAAGAATCTAAGGACTAGTGTATTTGGAAATTCAGAAATTTATTTCAGAAGTAAATTGAAACATATTTTGTAAGAAAGGAAGAAACATGATCAACTTTCTATAGAAAAATGCATTTTTGAAGACCTTGGAAGCAGAATATGTTCAAGTGACAAAAACCCAAGGCTCTTGTGAAAAACAACCCTACTGAAAAGGAATTAAAATGCTGAAAGCATAAAGATCTTACACCGCCTCTGCAGTATAATACAGTGGTGAAATATAAAGTAAAACTAAAATTAAAAATCAGGTATCCAGTAATGTGGGAATGTATCCATTGTACAGTGGAAGTGAAGGGAAGCCTATTCAGCACCCGTGCACATCAGCCTGGCTGCCCTAAGGGTCCCAAACAATTACAGGCACTGGTGTTTAAGCACATTCATTGCAAATTAAGGAGTGCAGAGCCTGGAGACTGGAGAGCAATGGGAACCTGGAGAGTTGGTCATCTGATGAGACTCAGCTCTAGTTATTTAGGCAGCAAGTGGCTAGTTCACAATGAGCTGAAGCTTTCTGAAGTTTCCATTCATTGGATGGACTAGAGGCCTGATTCAGTCACACATGGCAATTTTTGTTCTTTGAGCTAAGAATTATAGCAGAAGCTGCTCTGTCCTTTGATAGCAAAGACCCTGGATTGGCATCCTTTGCTTGGTCAGGTACCAACACAGAGTGTCAGAGGAAAAAAAAACAACAAAAAAAACAACTTTCCCTTTTTCTAGGGGTGTCTTCAGCCAGGTGGAATTGGATTTCTTGCAGCTGGTGCAGAGCTCACATTGCCTCTTGCCAAACGGGTTGACTGTGTCTCTTTTTTTTCTATAAAGCTCTGGTGTGACTGAATGCTGAACATGTATTTAATTTAGGGCCTTGTTATCAGGAGTTGAAATGCTATACAGAATTAAGCCACTGCAAGAAATGAGTCCCAAGCGACTGTTAATGTGAGCCCAGACAATGCCCCGAGAGACAATTATGTCATAGGGAAGAGCCTGGTGTCCCTTCCCTTAATTTGACTGATGTCAGGGATTATGAAGCTCCTGAGAGGAAAAATCATCACTATTATAAATCAAAGATGGATTAATTTTGGCAATCAAAACACAGCTTCTTTGGCTTTGTAATGATATTATACTGGAATCTTCCAACTCCCTTTGGGTCATCAAAGAAGAAATAAACATATCCTGCTAACGAGTGCTCATCAAAGCTGCAGGATGTCAGAGGACTAACTGGAAGTGAAATATCATGATATTCATGATACTCCCCTCTGGGCATTTTGCTGAACAGTATCTAGAGTTTTCACAGTAGAAGTATTTTTTCCCCCTCTAGTAACATACATAAGTATATAATTGAGTATAATTTTTCTTAAACAAAACATCAAGTGATTCATTTACTTACAAGCAACAATGTTTATGTATCGATTCTTATTCTTGTTGTCAGGGTGATTAGAGCTGTCTGACGTAATACCTAGATCTACAGTACAGCTCTGGATTTCCTGAAAAAATAAAGTTCATCATACTTAAATAAGTACTAAGGTAAATAAAATGTCTTAAAATACAATAAGTCATCATGAAAAAACCACAACCTTCTACCCAATTAGCTATAATATTTTACAACTACTTCATTGCTAGAAAAAAATGCAGTGAAATAATTCCTTACCTGATAAAACTCTTTCAGTGTCTAATGAGGGAATGAATGCAAAAAAAGTAAAAAAAATCAAATTCCACGGCACAGAACAAATGGATAAAAGTGTTTATATAATTTACAATTATTCTATGGAAAACAATTATGGTCATGCATTATCATTATCATCATAATATCAACAGAGCTTAAAAGAGACAAGAGACAATTTTATTGTTAAAATATGGGCATCTGTTTTCCTATCTTTAGCTTTAACGTTAGACCTTACTCCATTGAAAGATTATATATATGAGAAACATCACTGACTTTAGTCAGATTATCTACGTATTTAACTGTCTATAGGATTTCTTATTGGTCCTTATAACTACAGTAGTTTTTCCTGCAGAGCTCTTTTGCTCTCTTTCCAGTTACTCCTGAAGCTCTCGCAGCTGCTCAGACTTCATGGGACGGCATTACAGTCCTTTGTCTGACAACAGCTTCTCAATAACCCAAAGCTTTTATGAAGACTGCCTGCAAGAGACAGGCTTAAGAAGACAGGTCCGTAGACTATAAAACTCACTAAATTAGTATTATTCGTTTCTTATCTTACTGATTACTTTAACTGACAAGAAACTCAAGCACTTAAAAGGTCCATATTGTTACGCAGGAAATAAGTAGCTTATGAGTACAAAAAGTACTATAACATTTCTCATCATTTTTTAGGATTTATTTCAGTATTAACCATCTTCACCTTCAGATATTTAAATAGATATATATGTAAAATGGTTATCCATAGCAATACACCTAAAAAATCGAACCAACCCCTTGCCCTGACCTCCAAATGATTTCAGACTACAGAGACAATGGCTATTTTCTTTATCAGTAGTAAAAAGGCCTGGACACATTCAGGGGTTGTCTGTAAATCCAAATTGGAGCTTCAAATGATGAGCAAGAACAAAAGTGTTTTAGATGGTGGAGACTCAGTGAAGTGCAGTGTATTTGGTCTTCAGATTGCCCCAGTAATTTAGGAAGTGAAGGTGACAAAAAATATGATTTACTGACTGTTTTACCTACTAAAGTTGAAGGAACACTGCTACCATTGTATTTATAACAGTTTTTCAACATTTGGTTTCATCTAACAACCAGTCTGAAGCCCAGTCCTGTCAGTCCATCTACATTTGCTTAAAGTAACAAATGAACTGGGCGTTATTCACACATACTTACAAATTCAGGCCCACAATCAGATTGATATACTTTACCATCTAATGAATTAGAGATGCTTATGAATAAGATAAGCTGAATCTAATTTTTGGTCTCTTGGGTCACAACACATTAGGTGGGGAACCCTAAGCAATACCGAGAGATGCAATATTATGAATTTCTTTAGTTTCAGCACTGTTTTTTTTTTGCAGCAGTAATATTAAAATTATTTTAAATTAATAGTGACCAATCAAAGAAAATTGTTTTCATCACAACTGTTTGATTTTTATTAGAGAACAAACACCTGTCAAGAGTTTTAACTTAGCTAAGCTTTAGCTTAGATTTAATTTCAGTCTTTGCTTATAATGCTTGTTTTATAAGTGACTTAAGTTAGTACTTATCTATCTTTAAATTGCATGTAATGCATACAAATGTGAAAAGCAATGAAGAAATATATGAAGTAGTTACATACGGTGAGAGCAACATTATGAGAACATGTTTCAAAGTTACACATCATATAAACCATTTGTTTTATGAAGTCAACTGTAAAACTTTTACTACCACGTATGAAGACTCTACATTAGCTCCCCCGTTACTCAGAAGTCTTGTCATATGTACTCATTATTATTTTCCTATTTTTTTCTCTGTAAATGGAACATGCGAATGTGCGTAGCTTCTGCAAAATTCAATTGGCATTAGTAATGGAAAAGTTTCAAATCTACAGCTGTATCTGTTAAACCATATAGATTGTGTTATATTTGCACAGATTATTCACATAGTAATTTAGCTTCTCACAGCCACAGCCAACACCATTTGCATTCCAGTCTTATAAATCTCCCTAGCCCTTATTCATGAACAGACCTCCCACTACTCATTTACATGAGATCATGAATTTAGTCCCTCAGGTCAGAATGTAATACCCAGTTCTCTTTTTTTCTTTTCCAGGCATTCAAACTTAACATTATTTGTATGCTAAGAAAGATGACGTCATACCTCAAATTCTTCAGAAAAACCATTACTTGCATGTAAATCTGCAACATGTTTTGGAAAATGCTTTATTGGAATTGCTCCAACATCATCTTAGGAGTGGGAAAAGACAAAAAATACATTTATGAAGAATAAAAAGCCAGAAGAACATAGAAAGACGTTCATATGTAGGCAATCCATACAACATCCTGAAATAAAATTTTTGGTATGTACTCTGGATATACAACTACTCATAAAAATAAATACACTCTCCAACATCATTAACATTTCTAAAATCATTCTCAAACACTTACAAATTTCTAAATGGTTATTCTGAGAGAAGATATGGTAAGTGTCCAGCTAGGTCTTGTTCTATCTTTAAGCCTCCAAAATTAAGGTGCTGATCCTGTCTGGAAATCATTCAGTTGACTTGACTGTGAAGTCAAGGGGAACTGAGAGGTTTAGCAGTCTGCTACAAGATACTCAAAGGGAAAGAGCAAGAGCAGCACTCTGAATAATACTGCAAAAGAAGGAATGATCAGAAGGACGAGTGTGGATGCTTTAGGTTGATTAGTATTGCACTGGTTCTCTGACACAGTACATGGACTATCTGCGCAGTTCCAACCCCTACTAAGTTAATGCAGCATTATGACAGTAGTATAATTCTGACTGATGCATACAAGCATTGGCATTCAAAAGAAACAATAACAGATTTTCATCTTTTACAGAAGTATTTTCAGCAGGAATTTCCCCCCTATTCACTACCATAATTTTACAATTGATAGAAATTTATGTCTGATCCCGGGAGTCAAATGCAAATTCTCACATCAGGCTGATAATGCAGGTCTAAAGATTTAAGATTTTCTGGATACACAGAAAGAAAATATTTACATTCTCAACCAGTAAAAGTGACTTGTGATGAATGAGTCTAAATTTTCCATCAGATATTTTATTTCAGTACATCTCCTTTTTACTTTATACAAACACAGTAAAACACTAATGTAGGGCATTAATTAGAGATCATGTAGAAAACATTTGGGCCTTTTAATCTTTTCTTTCCTGCAAATATGCTAGGTAAACACAGCCCTCTATTCTGCTAATTACCTGTTAAATTATGCCATTATTTTAGCTGATTTTGGCTCTGAATAAGATTTATTTATTTATTGGAACATTACAAAATATGTTTATTTCACAATTTTTAAGTTCAGCACTGTTTCATATGAGAAAAAGAAAAGAACAAAAAAACATCAAAAGCATCGAACAAAGACCTGATGTTTATGTCAACAGATGTTCAGTGTTTAGGCCACCTAATAATTTTAGCTTTTGGTTACCAAGAATTTGTTGATTTGTATGGAGATCCATCTGGTCTTCCATTTACATGAATGGATCTGCATACAAAAAGTGAATTTATCCAGTCAAGCCTAAGAGAAGCCGACCAAATGTGTAACACTATCTTCACACTTCAGAGATTAAACCTGGTGTAAAGTGTTTATTCTAATGATCTGCAAACAGAACACCAGAAGGTAAGGTAGATGATCTTAAGAGTGACGACAGAAAGGGAGAAAGAGATTTCAGGTTACTACTATTTTATTTCCTGGCCACTGCTAATCTCCCAGCTCGGTAACTTCTGACTTTAGAGATATATTATATTTCTAGATATCGAGTACTACTTGAAAGGCTGGTATTGTCTCCTAATATCAGCCTGTAATTCACTATTTCTGCTAAATGTACAGTTTGTACTGTGAAGTGCCAGAGCATTTTCTCTGAATAACTGCAATCTCCTATCTTTGCTAATGAACTTCACAGAAGGAAAACTTAGTTTATAATAAGATCTGTGGAGTGTACTTTTAGACATTGTTCTAATAAAATCTTAAGCCTAGCAGTTAAAAAATACTCTTTCTGATCTACATTCCTTGCTAACATTGTATGCCAATGAGTCTTAATTGTAAAATTACACTGCTGAAACACTTGTATGATAGAAAACACAAAAACTGCTCACTTGGGATCTGTTGCACGCAAAACAAAACACAAACATTTTTCTGAGTGCTGGACCTTCTTCCATACAGCATTTTATGTATCTGTTAGTCATTTAAAAACACTTTCCTCTTTAAGTTAATATTAGCATTCCGAAAGTAAAACCTCAGTGTCAAAACACATATATTAAGCACTTGAATAACTGTAAGTGCAATTTCGTCTTATCACAATGGAATACACTATCTCCCTGAGGTGAGCTGGTCAGGGAAAATTGCAAGAAAATTATACAGTTGTACTGCAATATAGTTAATGATAGAGAGTAAGAGCTGAAATTTCCTGTAATGATTGCCACTTGACATTCATATGTAATGACATGTTTTCTGAAATCAAGCTACATCCCCACCTATTAACCATTTAGAAAAAGGCTACCCCTCTCCTCACAATAGCAATCAACTTAAGAGGCTTTTAAAGATGCCTACAATTCAGTGACAACAGAAGCCTAATATCTGGGATTTATTCAATTAAATGTTCTTACTAGTTACCTACACAAGGGATGCTTTTGTTTCCCTTAGTCATTTCAAGAGTACCCATCCCCCCAGGTAATTGCACAGTTTGTAAAAGCATTATTTGTGGAGCAGAATATCTTCTTTTCATGTGTGGAAGTGTGGTTTGGGATCTGCAAAATTAATCTATTTGACTCTAACCAGTTTGAAAGAGCAAGAAAGGCTGCACATGCTCCTCTGCCTCATCTCAAGGAAGAAAGAAAAGAAAGAGCTTCTCCAAAAAAAAGTAGAGTGGATATGGCAAGAGCTAATATATGGAAGATGCTAGTAATACTCTTCATTTGGGCATCAGTTTTATGAGAGGTTCAGAAAGAATTTTACAGTAGAAGATATGCTACTAAAATATATCCATTAGAAGAAGACATTGTAATCACCAGTGAAACACAAATGAGGTGTATATTGGTCCTGCTGGTAAAAAGTAAAGGTCATGTTCTATACACAGGTGTCAAACTCAATGAAAGAAATGTGGCAGAGTACGTTGCTGATGTAATCCTCTGCTTTGTGACAATGAACTAGAGCTGCTAAGTGTAGCTCGAGTGTGGGTGACACAGGCTAGAAGGCACAGCATCTCCCTGAGACAGCTCCGTAAGGTGAGGATATTTCTCTTCTGTGCTACCTACAGGAGAAAATATGAGCAACACTAACCTCTGCCTCTTTTGAGTGCACCTGTGTTAATTTGTACAAGTAGGTAATAATTTCCAGTTTACAGAATGTGAAGAATTCATATAGACACATGCTAGGCAGCATCTTTCATAAGTTAATATCAATCCACAGAACAGTTGACAAAAAATACCTGAGACTGGGAAGACTGGAGCAGGGGGGGCAGAAATCACTCGAGGTGACGTGTTATCTTCCAAATAAAAGTGAGCAGTCTGGAAACATTTCCTAGAGGAGAAGAAATGTTAATAAATATTGCAAACACAAAACATAGCCTGAAATCTTTTGGAATTCTGACATCATTTAGTTAAGAGAATCACAGTTTTGAAAACCAGTTCTCATGGAGTGTTGAACACAACTACTGTGATAGAAGTATTGCCCCAATATACTACAGATTATGCATACAGTTGAAGATACTTAATTAACTCAGGATAACATACAGTTCATGCAACTTTACCTATACCAGAGGCAGAAGACAGAGCAGACATCTGACATGGTGAAAGCTGAAAGAGGAACTCTCAGAAGATACTGTAGATGCTGTGCAACAATTTCAAGTATAAAAAAATGCCATTGTCTTCCTTTCTTATCCAAATCTGCACACATAATTCCCTTTTATATGATTATGCTAGACTGCAGATGGAGCAGTGTATGAGATCAGCTCTGGTAATTCATCAGTAGAGCCTACTGCAGACACGGAAATGCAGTCCGAGGCAACATGCTCTATAGTGAACAAAATGGAAGCTCTAGACTACTGTGATTGGTGCTAAACAATTTTTTTGTAATGTCATTGTCACAACAATGAGGGACACCATTACCAAGGAGGACTTCCTGAAGTTGAAGGAGGAAAGCAGGGGAATTTATTACTCCAAGAGATGCTAGCTTTGTTGGAAAACACTCAAAGATGAATATAAATGGAATCAACCTTAGCTATGACCCCCACTGTTATTTGTATCTGTGCTGTAATCCAGATGTGAAGATAATAATAAGAGCATCTGTTAAGAGTTCAAGCAATTCAAGGGACTAAATAACCAACGGCTGCTGTAAGTATTGCAAAGCCTCTTTAATTAAAAAATCTCCATGTGATTAGAAATGCTAATAACAATCTTTACTCTGGGTCACCTAATCTATTAGAAATATTATTCAGGAATTATTAAGTTTAAAAAGAAACATACACATCAAGGAAACACTAATCTCATTTTGCATTTACAAGATTCTGCTTCTTGAAAGCTGTTGGCTCAAGCTGTTGTATGACCTTTTGCTATTTTCTGTAGTCACTTTAAATTCTAATTTTGTATTGCTCCTGTAAATAAATACCACCACACTGATAAAACCCTTCATATAATTGTTAAAATGATAAAGAAGTATTGAGGCTACTTTAAGAAACAGCGAGTATGTGGTTCATAAAGACTTTGGTAAACTCATTTCAGTGAAGCATCTGGGAAACATGCACATACTCATGGAATGTACTGGGAATTTTCTGTGTTCATGTACAATGCAAATTCTCTTAAAACACAAGAGGAAGTAGAGAGCTACATCAAAAACAAAGTTGTGGCATGCAACAAAGTTCTCATGATAGCAAATTTGGAGTCTAACTAGAACCTTCTAAAGGCATGTTTGTGATGGTCTCAGAAGGGCTTTGGATTTTCCACAATACGCCTAGGAGAATACTATCCATTGTGTACTTAGCATTACTTAGAAATGGTAGTTCTTGATGCACATCAATAAAATGGAGCAGATAAACTACAGGAGGAAGGGATACCATCGAAACGATCTGGACAAGCTTGAAAAGTGGGTTCACATGAACATAATGAGGTTCAATGTTGCCAAATGCAGGATGTTGCACTCAGGTCAGGGCAATCCCAGGTATGTGTACAGACTGGGAGAAGAACTCCCTGGGAGCAGTCCTGTGGGGAAAGACTTGGGGGTTCTGGTGGACAAAAAGCTGCACACAGCCAGCAGTGTTTGCTCACAGCCCAGAAGGCCAATGGTATACTGGGCTGCATCAGAAGAGGGGAGGCCAGCAGGGAGAGGGAGGTGATTGTCCCCCTCTACTCTGCCCTCATGAGACCTCTTCTGGAGTACTGTGTCCAAGCCTGGGAGCCCCAGCATGAGAAGAACATGGAGCTGTTAGAGTGTGTCCAGAGGAGGACATGAAGATGATCAGAGGGCTGGAGCACTTCTCTTATGAAGAAAGGCTGAAGGAGTTGTTCTTGTTCAGCCTGGAGAAGAGAAATTTCTGAGGAGACCTCATTGTGGCCTTCCAGTACTTAAAGGGAGCTTATGAATAGGAGGAAAACCAACTTTATACGGATACACAGTGATGGGACAAGGGGGAATGGCTTTAAACTAAATGGGAGAACATTTTGGTCAGATGTTAGGAAGAAATTTCTTACTCAGAGGATGGTGAAGCCCTGGCACAGCTGCCCGGAGAAGCTGTGGATGCCCCATCCCTGGAGGTGCTCAAGGCCAGGCTTGATGGTGCCCTCTACAGCCTGATCTAGCGGTTGGCAATCTTGATCTTGGCAGTGGAGCTGGTGCTCAATGGTCCCTTCCTATCCAAGCCCTTTCATGATTCTATGATTCTGTGATACTCAGGATGTTTTAAGGAGGCTCTAACATTTGCATTATGCACCTTGTGGCTGCTAACGTGAGAAAGGCTCCCAGTGATAACATAACACTCAAGAGTTAGTTTCAGAACTGTGTGCAAAATGACCAAGAGATAGGTGAATAGACTTCACTAAGCACTTTTGGAAAGTCTAGTCCTGTCTACTATGCACTGAGAATACTGATGTGCTGTATTTATTAAAAAACAACCAAATGTGCCAACCACCTCAACTTTAAAGGACAAGAACAAAAAAATGTCCTCCCGCTAATGCCTGTGGCTTATGAACAGTGATCATACATAAAGCTTACAGAATAACACTGCAGAAATTTGTCATCTCTTTGCCTGTGAAGACTGAACTAAAAAGAATTTAATTAGTGTAATGGTTTTCATATAAAAAGCAGTGATTAAAATGTCTTCATAATATGCTATATATTCACTATTCCTAACTGAGCCACTGTATCTTCAATCTTTAGCAAGTTAATTGTGGCTGAAAATAAATTAAACCCTTGGCACATTTGGGAGACAAATTCATAGCGGTTGACTTAACCTATATAAGAGTCATAAATAGGCATTCCATCTGCTTTGGCATCAGCAGTGAAAGCCTTTATGACTAAACCTAATGTTAATAACCATGACTCGTTAATTATCACTTGTTGTTAATGTAAAAAGTGATGACTATTTCAAACTTCCAGACAAAGGTCCCATCACTCAATGTTAACCTGATTATTTAATTTACACCTTTCCTCAAAGCATTTAGATCTTCAACCTAAAACTGTAATTTGTAATTTAGACACTGCGCTTCTTTGAACACACACTTTTTATATCAGATAGTGAAAAAGCACTGATTTAATTAGAGTGTCACTATCTGTACAGAGAAGCAGCAGCAATTTGATATAACGTGAGGGATACTACAGCTGAGAGAACACCTCAGTGTGAACTGCTTGGAAGAATACTACACCTCAGACTGCAGATGGTCTCTTTAGAGTCTCCTGTGCTCACAGGGCATCTGTCATTGGTTATTCTCAAATACTTATTAGAAATTATTTTGAAATGGTTTTGATTATTTGAAGATCTGATGGATCCAAAGGATATTTAAATAGACCTTAGAGAATCCAGTGATTCCATTTTTAAATGATTCCAATTTGTCTTTTAAATCCTTGTCAGCTGAAATTTTAATTTTAAAATTATATTAGTTCTTTTATTTATGGTTTGCTGTCATGCAGTTGAGCATTTCTCTTTCATGGTTGAATGAATGTGAACACAGTAAGTTAAAATCTGTTTTTAATTTGCTTCTCCATGTGCAAGTTCAATCATTCTTACAGAGGATTCTCAGCTCTTTTTCCATAAAATGAACACAGGATTCAAGATACTAGTTCAAATCATGGATAGGAAAATGAACATTCTCTGAAAGCTGCATTTCAGAGATACAGGCTGGCAGAAAAAAAGTTAAAACTTAAATGATTGCTCAGGAATTCGCCTGTTACTAGGTTGGCAATTTCTGAAGTATTGCTGTCATGTAGCTTCTAGGAGCTGATATGCAGTATCTCTGCACCTAGAAATGTAACTGGAACTGCATTAGGAATTTGCTGTTCATATTACCAGAACTAGTATCTTACTGAGATTCATATGTATTTGTTCAAAAAACAATACTGAATGTTGCAGATCACACTGACAACTATTACCATTTTACTGTTTGCCAAGCTCTTCTTATGTTAACCATTATAAAAACGGATTTGCACAAATTGTTTTACATTTCTTCCCATAAATCATTTCATTAGGTTCATTTGCATTGACCAATTCAATGAACTGTTCCAAAAGATTACACATATGCCTAAACAATTTCCAGTATATCAGCACAGAGAAACTTTCAATTTCAGTTACCTAAATACAAAAGGTTAATTCAAGAAAATGGGAATGATGAAGCTATCCAGAAATGAGAAGAACAGGGAATGGAGATTCAAATATCCCTGATGCATAGTGTACAAGGACTCAATCAGATACCAAGAAGAATGGATAGATACTATACTTGGATAGAAAATTCTCTCTAAAGCTGTAAAAATAATCTGTCAAGGAGGCAAAGCCATTACATAGGCAAAAGAATCTCCCCATTTATTCCACTGTAATCTAAATCATTCTAAAAAAAATGTAAGGAAAGCATATTTGCATCAAATTATAAATGCTTGATGCACAAGACTACAGTAATTCAAAACGGTGCACGTTCCTACTGAAAATTAGATATTCTTTAGACAGTATTATCATTAAAAGTTTTTATTCCTGTGGGAGAAATTAGTTTTTTATCACAAAAAGATTGAAATTATGCCTAACAAGATAGTGAAGAGATTGGGGAATTTCCTCTAGTGATGATTAACAATTTCATGTAAAAAAAACACAAACAACCAATCCTATACCAAAAAACCAACTAAACCCAAACAACAGATGGTAGAGAATTATTTTTGTGATACAAAGCATTTGAGTGAAGAACAAAATAATTTTGCCTTTTTTTTTTTTTTAACCTTGAAAAGTTGGAATTTGAGGCTTTTGGTAGCTATTTGGTTTTGAAACAATATATTTTTTAAAAAGGTTACAGCTGTTGTATATTCAGATCAGGAGGTGGCACTTTTCCATGAAATACCCAGCTAGGATATGCCCATGCAATTTTTTTTTTGAATACTCTTGCCAAAAGAATATAGAATAACATCTTGTAAATCTAATATTTTAATTAACTTTAATGAGTGAAAATAATTGGCGCACATAAAAGAAAAAGAGGTAGATATGCATTATAAAAAGAAAACCTGTCAATTTACAACAATTATTTCAAAATCAGCTAAACTTAGCCACGGAAATACTTATAGTCATATAGCAGTTAAGTTCATCATTTTTCATGAACTTTCAAATCATGAAGTTCATCATGATTTTTCACAGGCTTTAAAACAAGGTGCGAGTCTTGGTATCTTTGAAAGAGGCCTATAAAGTCCTACCTACAATACATACAGCTTGTGATTCATTTTGCTGAAATAAGAACTATGTTACTGGTGTTATCATAAAGCCCAAGAAAATTTTCTCAAGGATTAACAAAAAAAGAGCTTCATATTTTATTTTGTAGTACGCAAGAAATACAGAAAAGATTAAATTCAACTTCAAGAAGATATTACTGCTAACGGGATTTTTGTTTTATTTTGAAAGACCTATGTTACAGAATTGTTCATTCCCAGAAAAAAAATACAAAATGAACATGATGTTATTTGACAAAAACAAGCTTGTAACATGTGTAGGATTACTAAAACTGCACTACACAATCTGGGTCTTAAAATGTGTAGTGTTCTTCGGAAAATAGAAGAGATTTGAAAGACTATTTAGGCTCAAGGATGAAACTCCTTGGAAGATGAGTATGAATGTTCATGTTGTGTAACATGAAAGACAGGAAAAGGCTCTCAATATGAAAGTGGTTAGCTAGAAATCCTGTGATGGAGAATATAATTATCCAACTAGATATAAATCAGGAAATGTGTGCAATTCTTCCAGCAATTAACCACTTATTTGAAAAGCGGAAGAAATCTTTCTGCAAATTCAGTGCTTTTAAGTGTTTTATCATGCCAAAGACTGGCTGACTTATAAGGATGTTTGCCTGGAATGAAGGAAGCCTGAACTCAATTTCTTATGCTTCATCTGTTGAGGGATGGCATATATTCTGTCCTGGGTTGATACCAACCAGCGAGGAATTGAGAAGCAAAGCCAGTGAGCCAGACCCTGACGCCACAGCCTAATGGTTACAGTAGTCAGGAGCTGACAAAAGCACCCTGGGATCTGGTTCCTGTTTCCTGGTTCTTTGCCACAGTTACACATTTTAGGTTAAGCAAGACTGGACAGATGAAAGAAAAAGAAGGAACAGGTTCTAGAAGCCTTCCAGGAGCAAGGCTCTGCTTCTTGCTGCTTGTTTATGCATTAGCAGTACACAAGCAATGATGGGATCAGGCCCCTGCAATCACAAAAGAACAAGAGTTTCTATGGCAGGGTGATGTGCAACTTAACACTCATCTCTTTCAGTCCACTATGTCTCCTCCTTGGCAACTCTCACTCTCAGGAAGGTAAGGGCTGTGTGGATTTTGGAAGTCTATGAGAGCCTAAGAAGCCTTGTCCCTAGAAAGACTCCATGGCTTCATCTGCATCCAGTGAAGAAAAGCTGAAGACTTGAACACTGTCCCATTGCTAACAGGATTCCTGGTAGGCTCATAGCTTAGGCCAACTTGCGTTATTGCATACAACACCTGACACACTCTGGGGTTAGACCCAGAAACTGTCCCTGGCAGGGGATCTGAATACACCCACCTTGTTTATCCCCTGTGAGGGAACAGCATTTGGCTGTACAGAAGCAACTTGCGCCACGCCTCAAGATTGTAGAAGAGTCCTTGGACCACCTTATTTCATAGAATAGGCTCAATCTTTTGCCCCCAGTGGTTGTGTCTTCAGGACTCTTGTCTACCACCTCTCTTTAGCCTGACTTTTTTTTCTTATTTTCTTATCAAGTCACAGAAAACATCCCCATGAGGGAACCTGAGCATGCATGCGTGCACAAAACTCATCTGCTTCATCACCTGTTGAATGGTTTCAAAGGCTGGAAGGCAAAAACTCTCATTCTAAGGCAGGATCACAAAGCAGAGCAATTTTTAGTCACTGAACATGAGATCTACTCAGGAAGTGATCTTAAAATATTGACAGATAACCTAATTTCTATCTCACATTCCACATCAGCTACAGCCCATTCCTACAGTCCTTTATGAACTGCTTATTTATACAGTCCTGTTGATGATCATAGATTCTTGTTTAAATTGATAACAACTTTTTTTTTTTTTTTTTTAATAGTTACATGATTGGGAAAATAGGAAACAAACCCATTCCATGCTATTTATTTTATTTCTCCCTCCTATTCTTCCCAGCGTTCTGTTAATTCACTTGGCTTCCGGCATTAGTAAACAAAAGTAATTTTTACTAAATTCTCTCAGTATGGATATAAGGTATATGTCATGTTCCAGCATTGCAACCAAAATTAACTGTAGTTGAGCATTTTGGAAAGAAAGCAGCCTACTGCTTTACACCACTGCAGCTCTGGGAGCAAAACAAAGACACAGTGAGAGACAAGATCCAGCCTCTCTCCTATAAAGCAGCTCAGTAACGTCAATCACATTTTTCAAATCACTGTTCTTTAGCACTGAAAAAACAAACAAACAAACAAAAACCCAACAAAACAACAACTTACCTCCAGTATATGAGAATACCCACAAGAATCACTAGACAGATAAAAGTCAGGGCGGATACGACCACAAGTGGTATAACTGTCTTCTTCTCTGATTCCAGACTCTCGGCTAGACCGATACGAGACTCATGGCTACTATTACTTGCCTCTGCAGTCAGAGAAAATTGAAACAGTCCATGTTTAAATACTGACAAACACACAGCATGAGTGAAGGTGTCTTATAATGAGCCTACTTAATACCACTTACCTCTATTTTCACTACGCACTGCAGAAAATGTATACATTTGCAAACCAGCTTACAGAAAATAAGCAGACAGAGGGTAAAGCAAAGTATTCAAGCTTTTGTGATTCAGCCTTCCAGCAGTGGAGACTTCTTTGTAAGAATAGCAGATTGTTGTTAAAATATAGGAGAAGAAAGTTTTTATTTTCATCTGTTTATTAGCTGAAAGTCAATAAATTAAGGGATCTGAATTTATAATACTGGAATGTGTAAAGCACACTGATACGAAACTGTCACTCACGTAATGCAAATCACTTCTCCTTGACTAATAATTGTGATTTTTTTTTTTTTTTTTTACAACAGAAAATGTCAGTGTGGTTACTTTATTGCACCTAAGCCTTCTGTAGTTTAATATGCTGTCCATTTGGTAACTTGCCTTATAGAAAATCTAGTTTCCTTTAAATTCAATTGCAGCACTCCCTCCTCCAACTATAATGGAGCCAGAATTAAATTTCCTACCTCCATCTTTACTGGGAATCAAATTGTTATTTAGGTATTATCTAGATTTCACATAACTGTCAGCCTTGTAATACTGGGTGATGAAAATATTTGGGCACAGGAATCTGTATGAAGATTAAACTAATATATTTTATAAGCTCATTAAAAGAAGCATACATAATGGTGGAAGAGATCAATCCTGCACTTTTCTTTCATCCCTCTGAAAGAAAACACTTGCAAACATAGAGTTTGACACAAAATAATGATTCTTTTAAATCTATGCAGCTGACTATGACCAGTATATGAGTCAAAATACAGAAATAATCATGTCCACACTTTTTAGAATTAATCCTTAGATTTTCTAAGATAACTACATATCTTCTGCTTTTAGTGAATTGTCTTAATACAATTAATGCTCTGTATGGGACAGGATATTGCTGTCTAGAAATCAGCTGTACTCCAGTGGGGTTTCAAGACCAATTCTACATGACAGTTTTCAGACAAAAGGGAGGAGGGAATATTGCTGGATCTGAAAAAATATTGACAAAAAGCATAGGACCTAAATACAGTATAAAAACCCAGACATGATCACATAGCATAGGCTTCCAGACATGTATCTGCTTTCATTTTCTTTAGTTTTTGGGCTTTCTAGAAAAAGATGTCTAGGTCCTGATCTTGCAGATATCTTCTTGGTTTTAGTTCAGAGTGCTCAAACACCCAAATCAGTCACTGCTTTTTCAATCCTCTATCTCCATGTGCAAGGTGATTGCAGGAAAATGAAAGGCTTCTGAAAACTTGTCCCCAAGCTTCTTGCAAGTAGACTAAAATCAATACTGATTCAAGAGGAAACTATATATCTGTATGAGAGATCAGAATATGATCCCTTTGAGGCATACACATTTGCTCGTTCAACTCTGGAGTAATTCACAGGGTAAGACCCAAACTCATCTTTGTGATAACAGAGCTCCTTCACACTGCATGACCAAGTTCTACTCTCCTATGAAGAAGAGCAGTAGATCCCTGTAATGGAGCTTCTTGCCTGCTTGGCCATTGCTCCAGTGATAGCAGCTGAAAGGGAGTCTCACCTTCTGCAGATTTCCTACTCCCTAACAATTGGCATACTTAGATCATTTCCATTATTATTTATATTGATTTCTTTTATGACTTTTCAACTGAAGTTGAAAGGTTTAGGTAGCCATAGATGTCTTAAGGAGAAAGTCCTCATTCAGAACAGGCATGAATATGCATCGACAACTATAATAAAGAGTGGGTAAAGTTTAAATGACATTTTTTTTCTGGAACAGTCAAAGTAAGAAGACATTTCATTAATTTTTGATGAATTCACAGTAATACATAACTTCTTAGTTGTCTTTTTTTTTTTCTTTTTTCTTTTGTTACCTTGTATTTGAGTTAAGCAAGGATATTTTTGACTTACAGGAGACCATGTTAGACATGCTTGCATTTAATTTCCAGTTTTTAGAAGAGAGCATTTGGCATTATTTATTGGAAAAATCAATGTGCATGAAGTGATGCTATATAAAGTCTTTCAATAATATTTAGAAGATAAAATTTGTCTGTTGTAGTGCTACTCCAGACACGTATAATCTTTTTGAAGTACTTTTCTGAAGTAACAGTTCAAGCTCATTGTTAACTAAAATGACACTTATGTAAACTGTAAATCTTTAATGGCAACATTCATTTATATAAGTCATACGAGTCTTGAAATATTCCTTTTCTTTTTTTCTGATTTTTCAAGAAGTATGTTTTGCAGTTTAAACCATGAGGTAACCGCTAACCAACTGAACTAACTCACTTTTTGTTTCAGTTTTAGTGTGCCTAATTTGCTAGGACAAATAACAATTTTGGCATGTTTTCTACTTATTTCAATACATTTTCTATTTTTTTTTTTGTTTGTTTTGTTTTCCATTTTTTCACATTCTATTAGCTCCGATTACATAGTGTCGTTTTGGCACCTTTTCATATTAGCACTCTGTTGCTCACGAGCAATACGACTTCATTTCATTTCACTCTGTATTCATAGCACTCAGCCTAAAATTTCACATGCTATCTAGACTCCATTCAAAACAGATTTAGTTGGATGATACTGCCCTCTACAGATGCTGTGACTGTTTAATTTCAATTCACTTTTTAAAATACAAATTCACCTTGTTGTTTTTTTTTCCCAAGCCACAGTTATTTTTTCTGATTTTACTTTTGGGTTTCCAATATGCTAACATGAAGAAATTCAAATTTCTTGTCTGAATAGTTTAAGTTTCCACAACTCATTTTTAAATATAAAGGCAATATATTATATTTATCTGGTTCTTATCTATGTAAGGCGCAGTTTTGCCTTCTGACCTCATCTTTGGAATCACAGTTCACAAAATCTGTTACTGACTTTAAGAGGAATAGTTAGGAAAAATATATATACATATGAACAAGTACAGGAGAACCCAGCTCTGATATACTGCAAATAATCAAAACCAGCATAAAAAAAACTCTGCATCTTACTGAAATTTGAAGACGGCATAAACAATAAGAATGAAGATGAATGTTTATGCAAATTAAGATGAATCAGAATCAAGCTGAAGCATCTTCTTCCTTGCTCAATACACCTTAGAAAATACAAAATAAAACATAAGGAGGAAATGTGCTGCCATAATTATAAAACAGAATCTCAGAGGTATGTTTGCACTGGTATAATTTCCTCTGGTAACATCTTTGTACAAGGAACTTACATCTCTCTTATACCTTTAAAACTCAAATTAAACCATTAACATTGAAACAAATTCTGGTCTCAGACTGCGCACCACCCGACTTCAGCTGATGGTGCAAATCTATCCAAAAACAGAGCACAAATCTTACTACTGAAGTTTCAGGTGCAGTTTGAAGTAGTCAGAAGTGGCACTCACAAGGCAACCTGCTCAGTATGTACCCCTGCTCCCCAGTGCCTCCTTAATAACCCCCACTGGCCCTCTTCTCCTTCTGTTATATACAGATAAACCTCGTTCTCTTCAGCACAAAAGAACCCTCTCACAGCATTATGACTTATCCATAACTAACCTGCCTCAGAGATGTTGAATACTGATGAGTGATCGCTAGTTACAGATGAGGATGATGACTGTGACGATCCAGGAGTTAATTCTGAGTTACCTGCTTCAACTGCCCCTTCAGTGTCTCTCTCATTAAGGTCAGGAAAACTGAAATCTGTTGACGTTTCATTATCATTAAGGCTATCTGAGGTACCTTGGCCAGAACCACTTTCTTCATCACTTGTAAAAACAGCCCAAGACTTAGACTCTGATGCGTTTTGCAATGGGACACTAGCAGTTTGAATATGGTTCTCCAAAAATGTCGGGTCGCTGTGCTTCTCAGGTATCACACTTGCTGTCAGAGATGGTACAGATGTATAATTATGTGTTTCCGTGGCATAGTTTATCTGCCTGTCTGATGCAGCAGTCGAAATTCTCTCTTCTTCTTCAGGTTTCCCAGAATGTGAGCTTATAATTAGGTTGTTATTGTTTACCTCTGCATTTTGCTCCTCTACTACCATATCCTCATCTTCTCTATGGGAAGAGCATGAGATACAGTTACTTATGGGAAAGCCATCGTCATACTCATCGTAGTCATCCTCAACTACAGAAGGCCACAAATCGGTACTGGACATGACACTGGGAGACAACCCAGAGGATTCTCTAGAAGGAACCAGTAACCTACTCAAAGTTACAGGGCTCTCACTTTTGGGAGGAACAGCTGTGACAGAAATATGTGCACTTGGTAAAGGAAGGGTGTGATGAATGGACACATCAGAATCAGAAACCACTGCAGGCATTTGCACAGGATCAAAACCAAATGGAAAACTTGAAGAGACACTGGCAGTCTCACTTCGTTCAAAAACACTTGCAGAGGTATGGCTGTCTGGAGGAGTAGCTACATGAGGTAATGCATCAGCTGTTAGGAAGGGAGTTGCTACTGCGTCTGCTGCTTGGGGGGGAAAGGTATTTGCATTTTCTAAACTGGTCAGCTGGAACGAAACATCGCTACTGTACAATGAAGGCATAACCTGCTGAACATCTTCACTGTTAAACAAGCTGGATGAAACATACTCCTCACTTGCATAAGAAACAGGTAAGCCTTGAAGTGACGCTGTGGGCTTACTAAAAGTGTTTGACAACATATCAGCAATGGAAGGTAGAGATGCAGAAGGCAGCATAGTTTCATTTGTAGCAGAACCTGGTGCCATTTGATGCCATATTTGGTCAAATGCAGAACTATCTTTATAAACCCTGGAGCTTTCAGCCAATATTGGATCACTCGGCACAACCGCAGCTGTGTTAAGCAGAGTGCCATCGCCAGAAGACTGGAAGGAGGACTGCAGTAATGTGTCATTATTTAATGTAGCTGAGGCCTCATAAAAGTACGGCTGAGTCGAGGATAACGTTTTACTATAAGCAGGGGCAGAGACAGCTTGTTCTGAGATTGCACTAAGCATAGGTCTAAGCAAAGTGTCATCAGAGGCTGGAGATGTAACATGCAAAGGCTGAACGGAAAGGCGATTTTCTGTAAGTTTACTAAGATCATAATCAAATACCTTAGTAGTGGGAAAAGCAAGAGAGACTGGAAGGATTCCCTTTGTGCTAGAAACAGGAAGTAGGCTTTCTTGCAGAGACGTGGTCTGCTTAATTACAACGTTATTAGAAACAGATGTAGAAAGTTCAGGTATCAGTTTACTTTCAGCACTGGAAGCCATTTCACTTAAAGAAGAAATTTGCAGTTCTTTCTCATCTCCATATACAACACCACCTTTTTGAAGTACCTTATTAACATCACTAAAACCAGATGATTCATATGTAATTTCATCTACAGAATCAGAGGAAGAAGCATTATTTATGGTCAAAGTGTCTGTGTCAGGCAAAAGGGACTCACTACCAGAGTATGCTTCAGACCAATCCATATCACTAGATAGAGAGCGCGTAGGCTGCAGCCAAGTATCAGCTTGTTTTGTTACAGAGGAAGGTTTATGCACCAGTACATTGTTATAGCTGCTAAATAAAGGATCCTGATGAAATACGTCAACAGAACCATGCACAAATTCTGCAGAGTCATAAGAAACAGTAAAGCTTTGGAGGGAGCCCACATTACTAGACAAAGCATAAGGATGTTCAGACATTGTAGATAGTACATGCACATTTAAATCACTGCTGGATGGTTCGACTTCAGAAAATATGTGAGTTCTATTATGACCAAATATCAGTGTCTCTGAAGCAGCGTGAGTGGTCTGATGTGACACCACATCAGCATATTGAGCAAGGCTTGGCTGTATTAATGTATCACCCTCTGCCAACGTCAAAGAAGCATGCAGGGACACCTTATCACTTGCAACAGCTGGAGTAGCGCTTTGTGGAAACATTTGAGAAACTGTGTACAGACGGTGAAACATTCTACTACTGGAGGAAGCAGAGGAAAATGTAAGCAAAGGTACATCATCATAGGAAGACAGGGTGGGTTCAAATGACACATCAACACTGGGAAATACAGGTGTAGCATGCAAGGTCACATCACTATCTGATGTAGCAAGGGTAGTGTCGAGCATCTGAGAGTCAAACAATAAAGGGGTGACTAGAGGAAACACTTCACTACTGTAGGAAGGTTGAAGAGGTATCTCACCATTATAGATTGGTTGAGTTGTCTGAGAGAGTACCTCACTGGCAGCAGAAGCAGAACCATATTCTCCAGAGCTTGAAGAGAGAGAGTGAGGTGATAATTCAGCAGAGGAGAAAGCAAAGGTAGAATAATGTGGCAATTCTAAATCCGCATCTGACGTGTCCTGTGAAACCACTGGGCTGCCGGAATAGGGCACTGTAGCTGGCTTTAATCCCTCTACGTAAGCCTCAGAGTAATTGGTCTGAGACAAAAGACTGCTATCCGATGTACCAACAGACTGAGTTGTCAGCTCCGTAGCATTATGAAACCACACATTTCCATCAGTGGAAGATGTATGCTTTGGAGGCTCATCGGAGCTTGGCGGTGCTGCACCTTCTGAAATATATTTGACAGAGCCTTGGTAAAGGACATCATGCATGCTTATATCTGGGCTTCCAGAAGGAAGGATGTCTTCTTGGGAGGTCTCCTCTGTAACTAGATGTGCTGAAGAAGTGGTGAGAACTGAACTCCAAAAGTCATCAGATTCCTGATCAGGTTTAAAAGGAGACAATAAGAAATCTTCACCACTATGGCCTGTAGTGGTTATCCTGGTTGGTTCAGTGCCTGAAGAAAGGTATATGTATTCTTCTTCTATGCCTTTGGTGGAGTCAATGAATTGAGGAGGAGTTTCAGTAATCGTTTGGGATTCCAAAAAAGGATCTTCTTCTTCAGAAGTTTCACTGACAGCTGGAGAAGTAGGAAAATAAACAGCTTTGAAAGCATCCTCCTTACCAGGCAATTCTTCTCCTGTTAAGTATCTATTTATTTTAGCTTCACTAGATTCTGTCCCTGTGTTATCTTGACCGTAGCTTGATGTAGTCACTCGGAAATCTTTCCTCTTTATTTGTTTTATTGCACTGTCAGTGCTAGGAATCACTGCAGTTTCTTCATCCATCTCTGTTTCTTTTTCATCAGCTTCATCCTTTGAAAAAATATCACAGCCGAAGACAATTAACAGTGTTTATAGACACCACACACAAATGAAATCTAAAACTGCAATAATATATTTATCTGGCTTCATAAAAACAAAAGGGACAAAACAACAGACACCTTTGAGAATTCTGTTGACAAAATATTTAGTTACAAGAACAAGTATCCTCTTCACTTGAAAATACTGCCCCTTTGCAAGACAAACAAACAAAAAAAATCTGCGCTCAATAGCTTCTTAAATGTATGAGAGAGAAAAACCACTCGCAGTATTTATTATTCACAAAGGTCTACATCTTTCTAATAAAATACAATTGTATTTGCAGTACACATCAAAGAAAAGTGACTACGATCAGAATATTTTAGAGAGTTGCACTAGTATTCTGATACTGATTAAACTGCTATAGTAACAGAATATGGCCTGTGTTTAAATTTGATGAATCAACATTTTTTCCTAGATGATACGATTTCAGGGTGTAAAAGATCATCATACAACAGTATCAAAAGTGTTGTGAGTGATGCCACCTGGTCCCTGTTACTGACCTTCCTTTGCTGAACACAAATGATAACCTGTAAAAAGTCTAAATTAGGTTTTGACTTTTAAGGCCAGGCCTAATAAATAGATAAATAGATAGATAAATTGATAAACAAAACGAGTATGTGTACGTCTAAACACAATGTCCCTATCCCCAACTTTTCTTGAGCCAAATCCAAAAAAGTAGTGTGGAATCATGGAAATTGCTCATGAGAGGTGGTAGTTTGACCAAGTATATAGGTGCCACCAGCTTTGTGCCATGCCCAACTCTGCCAACTGCGGCATAGCTCTGCACAAGGTGCATGACTGCAAACTAGATTGAGGAGTACCCTCAGCTGCTGAAGAGACTTGATTTTATAGGCACACATATGCCTAATAGATACCAGCAAGACAAAGCCTCCCTCAAAATGGAAACTGAATCATAGAATGGCTTGAGTTGGAAAGGACCTTGAAGATTATCTAGTTCCAAGCCCTTGTCTGTGGGCAGGGTTGCCACTCACCAGATCAGTCTGCCCAGAGCCCCATTCAACATGCCCGTGAGTGCCTCCAGGGATGGGGCATCCACAGCTTCTATGGTCAACCTGTTCCCATGCCTCATCACTTCATTTATCCCTATTAACTATATTAAATGTTCCCTCTTTTAGTTTAAAGACATAACACTATTAGATCATGCAAAATGGTCCTCTCCAAATACTGTTTAAAGTGTTTTTCTTTTGAAGACGCAGCTTGTCTACAGATGATGTGCTAGTAGTAGTGGTAACACTAGTCTCTTCTGCAGTTTAGGCTGAATTGATGACCTTCTACATTGATGTGAGCAAGGCACTGTAGAGAGATGAATGCCAAGTCAACAATCTTGGAAGAAAGGTGCCCAAAACAAAGTGTGACTGAACAAATTATTAATTAGGATACACATTTAATAATAATCTTTAACTTTAATCCAATCCTAACAGAGTGAAGGTACCTTAATCACCGAATTACAGCTGTGCTTCACACAGAAGTCCCTTTCTTTCAGGAATATCTAATGCACACCATACAGGGGACCTCAGATATGACTCTCATATCTGGATTTCCTTTCAGGGGGTAGATACCTAAAATGTAGGGACAAATGCACCTAGACTGTGTTTCCTCAAACCAAGGTAGGAGTGAACAACCCCTCATTTGTGAAAACGTGTCTTCTGAAAGGCAATGCCTGCACTTTTACTTTACTTTGGTTGAAGCAAAGTTACTGACTAAGTTGACATGCACTATTGCTCAGCTACTGTCCTGATAGAGGCAATATAATAACCTGAATATGTAATTTACATTATCGGCTAGTCAGCTTTCACAAAGTGAGGGTAAACAGAAAGTTAAGAACATGCTATATCTCCATTTAACTAACAAGGACGTGCCACACAGTGAAAAATACTGTGGTCAGAGACTGAAACGGTAATTTTTTTCTGAGGGATTACTTGATATCAGTGTAGATCTTACTGAAGGAAATGTCTGTGTTGTAAAATCTGTACTGATCTGAGTAATAAGTTTCACTGTGATATTTTCATCTCTCTTCTTGCTGGGATGTGAGAAATCAAGTTAACAAATACAGAAATAAAATTTAAATTCTGCAGAAGATATCATAAAAAACATCCCAAATGGTGTGAAATAGGGTTATATTATAAGCTTTAATCTCTAACTTGAATTGAAATGCAAGGGTAATTGAACATCCAAAATTTTGGAATTCCATGATTTGAAATGATAGCTGTTAATCAACAGCAGACACGCACAAATCTTATTTTAAAGGACAAGTGCCTTCCTCCCATACTTTAGTTTATCACACAATAAGATTTACCTGCTATAAGTAAGACCAAGACAGATTTCTCTTTAAATAATTCTAAAAAGCTTAATACTACATGATCACTTTGATTCTCCTAAATTCATAGTTTTGTTATTGAATTCACTCAGACGTAAGAGTAATTTGATGTGCTATTTTCAAAAACATTTCAGCATGTACTGTAATTTCCCTCAATTCTCCATGTATCTCGAGCTCCAGATAACTGTGTAGGTAGGGAGGTATCTCTAGAGTTACCAAGGGAGAAATAGAGCTGAAAATGAAGGTTGTACGTGCATACATATGCATGTATGTATAAATGGTGACAATACATTCATTTGGTGACAAAGACCTGTAAATTCTTACAGAATATCAGTTTTATTTTGTTGAAATCTGTGTATCACTTTGAAATACTCTTTCAAAAATAAATTAATGCTATACCTCATAATCTTCAGTTTCATTCAGTTCAGGAATGAGGTCAGTCTCTATAAAACAAAAATACAAACCGTATCACCGAACATTTTAAATTCACAGAATTATTAATTCTGCAAGGACTCAGTCAATTAATTAATAAATTTATTGTGACTCAGTCTAAAATATTTTATAGAATTGTGTTTGGAGAAGTGGCCAACTAACTGGAGAGAGCACTAGTTTTAAAGATAGCAGTACTCATCTAGACAGGAGACATTCTGCTGCAACAGTTCTGACTGGTGCTAATTTGATACTCCATCACATGTTGGATCTGCACTACGGAACCAGATCTAAGTTTATGAGAATACTGTCTTATACAAGAAGTTTAATACAGAGGAAACAGTAAACAGTAAAAGTAAGTCTGGGAATCACAGAGTTTTACTCTGAAAGTTTCAAACATACTCTTGTAAAATGATCTGTTCTATAATTTTCATACAGAAAATTCCTCATTTGTGCACCCATGCTTAAAGTTAGGTGCTAGTGCAAGTCATGCCATCATAGTCAGCATGCAGTAGGCTGGCATGCACTTCTGTCAGGGCAGGCCAGAGAGACCCACCCATTCTAACAGCCAGTTCTTAAGGCCTTCTTCAACCTCACTCTCCACTTGCTTCAGTGAACGGACCAGAACCTAGTTCTATCACATCCCACAAAGCTGGGGATAATAAGAAGATATTGAGTACTCTAATAAAACTTTTAAGGTCTTCCTCATTTTTTATACATAAATAGCAACTGTAGCAGAAGCAAGAACTCATGTGAAAATCTTTCTCTCTAAAATTTAGAGATAGTCTATCATCTTCTTTCTCACTGTCTTTTTGACCAACAGTATTGTGGTTGTGATAGCAGTCAGCAAGAGAGGCTTCAAAGCAGGTCGTGAGAAACCTTCAAATCTCTGTTAGGAACTGGCATGGCCTCAAGTGATGAAATCTTACACCCTTCCACAGTGTTAACTCATTTCACTGCTCTCTTCAGCCAAAGAAAAGCATGTTCCCTTTCTGGATCTTCCTAAGGCTTTGTCCTAAGCAATGTTGTCAAGCCCTGCCTATTTACCAGTGCCAACATGAAGTTGATTTGCACTGTGAAAATGCCAGTCTCTTATCGTGGGAAGTGATTCTAACAATAACATCCTATAGATACAACTTCATGTCTGCATCTCCTTGATGATTCCCAAATGTAGCTGTCTCCATACATTAGTATAAAGAGGTCATTTCCACACTTCTCATTTCTGCAAAGCCAGGCGGGGTCTTAATTTGTATTCTGTAAGGTCTGTCCACATCTGTGTTTCCAAAACTTTGAGACATGTATTATATGCATCATACAATTAGGTAAAATTTATCACACTAACATGCTCAGTTTTTTCTATAGATTCTAATATGTAAAAACATTTTGACTGAACCTGCAGAAAAAGTTTCATAAATTGTTCTTTTTTAACTAAGTTTTATAAATTACCAAACACTTGGTAATTGGTAATGAAACAATCTTTTATTAATGAGACAGAGAAAAATGATCTTACCTCTGATTCCTGGAAGCCTAGGAGGCTCCGGGACAGGGAGGGGAGAGGAGGGAAGGGGGAGGAAGGGGTGGAGGAGGAGATAATGATATTCCCTGGCTTCTCAATGACAGAAATCAAACATCATAAGACATTAATTTAGACCCATACCATATATTACGCATTCAAAAAACTTCTCTGTAAAGAAAAATAATACAGAAAAATGCTATCTATTCATTCTGTAGTCACTAGTCTTGAGTTGACCTTTAATCAGACTTCATGAGAAAAATAAAACTTGTTGATTGTGCTATATTATACAATAAGCTACATGCCCCCTCATTCCAGCAGCAAGAAACTCAAGTTTCTCACTCTTGCCTCTAACGGAGAGGTATTTATATAACACACACACATACAGTTACAGATAAATAAACAAAACTAAATAGTCAGCCATTTTACCAAGACAGTTTAATTTGGGTTGGTTACAAAAACGTATTTGTCAAAAGGCTTAGAGACACACAATTATAGAAGTTCTGTTAACTTCGTTGCTGTGATTTTTATTTGACAGCATTTTATACAAATGTGCTAACAGCCACTTACTTATCAGAAGAACCACCCACCAAAAAACAACCCATTGATTTAGGTTGACAAACAAGCTTGTTTATTTCGTCTGGAACCACATATTGCTTATTCTAGAGCTTACATTTTAAATAGTTAAATCATTAGTTAGAAAGTTTTGAAGTTATCTTTTCACATAATAGTGCATTTTAATGACAGACAAAGAAAGGACAAAACAAAGACAAGAAAGGGAAATTCCCTACATTTAAATTCAAAGCAAATCTTCAAAAAAATTTTTAAAGCAATCTGATCTGCAGCTGTAAGAATAACAGGCACCTCACGAATTCTTTTCAATTCTGTACTGTCTTACGTAATAAATGTCACTAAAAGAAAAAAATGTGAAGCCTGTTTCTTTTGTTTGAATCAGTTTTCAGATGTCTACATTTATTGTAAAATTAAAAAATAAAAATTAATTAAAAATAAAATTAGAAAAAAGCATCCCCTAAATGAAACATTTGTGATATGCTTAGTGCTTTTTTAGAACAAAAGTTACTCACAAAGACAAGTTACAACAAAATAGCATAGTTAGACCCTCACAAATCATCACTGACACGATCTCCACTTGAGAGCCATATCCCAAAATGATTTTTGATAAAAACCAACCAGTCTCTCTACACAGGAAGGTGAGAAAAGAGATATATTCTTATTTTCATGCCCTGCATCAGTAAAAGCATGTAAATATCACTGATATTAATGACACAAAAAACTACTGCAGAACTTTCAAAACTCTATCTAGAGAGTCAAAGCACATTCAGATAATGAAAATCCAGTTCTAATACTGAATGAAAAACTGGTAAATGAAAACTGGCCTTTCATCAAAGTCAACTAAGACACTATCTACTGATACACTCCATTTTCAGTGGATGTTGGGTAGCTGTGTCAGGGAGAGCACTCACCAACTGTCACTAATAGGAAACTAATTGGAAAAAAATCACATGTGCATGCACACTGCACTACAAGCTGAAATGCTGCTGCTCTGAACAGTTCAGGCAAAAAATCCAAATGCAGAAGTCTCAAATATGATCACCTATGTGGCGTCATATCTGAGATCTTGAGGCTTCCACAAACCAGAATGATTTCAGAAATCAGCATGGGGGACAGAAGTTATGGCCTGGAGGTTTACACCTTGGTTAAGGACCACACAGGATGGGGACAAAGCATGAGAAACTCCTTCCCCTTCCATCATCTCAAATAAAAAAGGCTAAGACAATGGTCCTGAGTTTTCTGAACAGCAGATTTTTGTTGCACAGGGTACTGAAAATTCCCTCTTTAACAGTGACCACTCCAAGGGCTGAATTCTTCCCAGAAAAAGGGCTCTCATGTCCCATTTTAATTTTTAACGTGAAGATTAATTAGTCTGGAGGTGACTGCAGTGAATTTCATCTTAATTAAACTGGCTTACTCAGAGTAAGTCTTGAATACAAAACTTTTAGTTTATGTTTTATGTGAGTCAATTTTATTTCACGTCTTCATGGTGAAGAAAACTTTTCTTTCATAAATTCACAAGCAGGAGCTCCAAGAAATCCCCTTTTGCCTCAAGATCTATAAAGCAGATCACAAAACCAATTTGATGTTATAGTTGTAATCATCAAGTAGCTCTGAACAAATTTTTTTCATTATATATTTATATTTTCATATCTCTGTCGTTTCATATGTGCAATATTAAATATGAAAATATTTGAAAAATTTGCAGTGGTTAATTCAGATGTAAATAATTAGTAAAAATAAGTACGTAAAGGAACAATATTAGAAAGGAATGGAAGTTTTTTGCCTTAAAAAAAAAAAAAAGAAATTATATCCAGAGCTAAGACAGTACTTATAAAATGTATTTGTAGAGCAATATACACTCCCACCGATCACACTAATTATATGGAAGGAGTCTTTCCTGAACTTTCTTCATCCATTACTTTCAGATATACCACTGTGAAAGTGTCAAACTAAACACAAAGCACTTTAACAACTTTCTGTCAGTATCAGATAGGAAGCATCACAAAGAAACAGCTTTTCTGAAACACAGAGATAATTCATTTTTAATGTTAAACCTCTCCTTTTTTGTTAGAAATTGAAATATCCTTGAAAGAATTCATTTGACCTGAAATAATCTCTCTCCATCTTGAAGCTCTTGACAAACTAAAGGAAACACCTCAAGCAGACCCAAAAACACTACAGATTTTCAGAGCTGTCTGAAATTTGGAAAAAAAAAAGGTGTTCATACTTTACATAGTTTTGATATAGTTTACATATTTTGATATGCAATATGCTTAACTCTCCTCTTTGGAACGCCTTGTTTTTTGAAAAAAAGAAAACTTGGGATCAGAATATACTTACAGAAGTTAATTTGCTTGGTTGCCACATTAAGGAGATGTACTTAAATGCTTAATTGGAAGAAAGCACAAAAATACCATTTCCACAGTTACATTAACATGCTCACACTGCAGACAGGTACATCCGTACATTATTATTTCACCTTGTTATCCTTGCATCGTATTTTGTCTTCTCTTCTTCTTCTCCTGACATGAATGCAAACCCAGTGCTGCCCTCAGGAGAAGCGCAGCACAGCTGCAGTGCTCACTGCAGGCCACAAGACACACAGCAGCCTCTCCCTGGGTTTGGTCCTGGCAGTTCTGCCTGCAGGCCAGGTGTGCTGTGCTGTGCTCCCATACACTGAGCTCCATCCCCTACCTGTCCCTGTGTCCACCTTTCCTTCCAATGGAAGTCATAGCACATAGCAGGGTGGTATGCAACCAGATCTGACAGTAGGAATGCAGCAGTAGTGGCATTTAATGTTCTTGGTTTTTGGTTTTTTTTTTGTCAATAAATTATTTTATTTTTGCTATTTTCTGAGCGTCAGAAGCTGTGATAGCAGCGCTGTGCTAACTGCATTTGTTGGCTTTGCTCTTGTTTAATAATGACAACACTGAGCTGTTTATTTTTTACTCCATGGATGTGGAGATGTGTGAATGAAATCTCACCTCAGAAAAATTTTCAAACACAAACTAAGCAAATTTTGGAAAGGAAATGGAGAGATACAGGGGCTAAGAGGGAGATAAGAGACAAACAAAAAAGTGAAATGTCAGAACTTTGTTGTGGTCTTGGAAAAACTAAATATGGAAATTCTCATAAGTATTAGCATAAGATTGCAAAAATATGTGTTTGAGAGGCACAGAAAATGTTTACTGAAAGGTCATATGTACTATACGTGAATCTGCCCCCCCTCCTTCAGATAATATGCTATTTTATGCCTTTTAGTACTATTAATTCTCAACTGATGCAGGAGAGATCATCAAGAACCATCTTCCTTCTTGCTACACAAGAATGTGATTCCCTTGAAATGAGAAACTAACCTGTTTCCCAAGCATACCACAGTACTGCTAAGGACCTTGCTGTAGTAAACTGATTTAACCACATGTAAAATTGAACATACACAATCCACAAATAAACAACCACAATCTGAGTCCCCAGATTAAAAAAAAAAAAAAAGAAGAAGAAAAAGTGTTTTGCTGCACGATCAGAAAGGTGGTGATTTGTTCCTGTGATTAACTACAAGGTTCCTAATTCAATACACAGCTTTCACTAACTTTGATAAGAACAGGGTTTTATGCTAAAACTTCCACAGAGTGTAAGGAATTATTAAGGACAACGTCAAGCTCCATGCTACAGTGTCACATTATTTCATATTTACCAGCAGGCAGAAGAGGTGAATCTGGCTGTGCAATCAGTGAGATTTGGTTGTTAGGCCTTTTGATTTTTTTGCGAGGCAACATTAACAAGCAAGGGAATTCCATCACCGCAAGTGCTTTGAAATCAAACTCCAAGTAAACATAAGTAATCCAATTTGAAAACAAATTGATACAGGTCTGTAAGTCATACATCGGGTTTGCATCTCTTGTTTCCTTAACACTTTGGTAATGTAGGTGATTAATTTGGGGAGTCAGGAGGATGCTTGAACCATAGGGAAATAATACCAAACACGGCTTTATTTCCCTATGTTGTTTTCCTAAAGGATACACTTGTGAGATTTGAAATGAGATAGGTGCTCTTCAAAATATTTTTAGTTAAAAACATTAACATGCAAACTTTTGTAGGTAATGTTTACAAGGAATGGAGAATTATATCATGATAAAATATCAGTAGCAAAGAACAAGCTGAAGGTTAACTGCAGGGACTTTGAAATTTCATTTTAGCATATTTGAACAGTCGCACATTTTACTGGTTTGCAAATAAACTACTTCTCTAAACAAAGATTTTCGGTTAAAAGTGACTGCTCGGCTCAGAAGAACACTTACCTTGGTCCTCTAAAGGCATATCAACAATGACTTGGTCACTGTATTTTCCGTGCAGACCATTAGAGCAAACAGCAACTATCTGAAGAACATAACTTGTATTGGGCAGCAGATTATTTAGAATAGCTCCCTAAAAGAAAAACCATGTTTAATCATTTACTTGCAAATACGTATCAAATATTTGGAAATGTTAAGATTTTTTCATAACACATTTTTCATACGAATCATGAAGGTCCTTCTGTCCTATGACTCTAACATACACTCTTCACATTTCACTGTCAAAAAATACTTCTCAGGCAACGTTAAAAAATGGTGAACTTTTAAATGGAGAATACCAAAATGCACACCTGTTTAACAATGAATACTAGCTTAGATAATCATTTTAGGTAACATTACCACTGATAAGCTTATGAATATTTGAAGAGGCTAACGAGACACATTTCACATTAGTGAAATACCATGAAGCAGTAAATCAGTAACTTAATACTTATAGCAGTATGATTGTACTGAATCTAATTAGCTGCTAGCGTAGGTAATTCTTTGCAGACCAGTGAGCAATGAAGTACAGATCACTATTAATTGACTAAGGGGTTTGTGGCTAAGGAGCAATGAGCTTGACATGCTCATATACTTTTGGGAAAACTACAGGCAAATCAGAACAGAACTCCAAGAAATTTCTCTGCCTGTGGCCAAAAGAGGCTTTTCTTTTTTTTCTATTTTTAATAGTCTCTGTAGCCTCAGAGCCAAAGAGAGAAGCACAGCTTTTGTGAGCTGCAGCCAAATAAGGAATTTTTTATTAAATTAGCTCCCAGCTACCTAAACCCTTAGAATAATTAATGGCTGCTTTGTCATCACCGCTCTAAATGAAACTTGAAGAGTTCACAGTTACCAAGTCCTGATACCCATCTGTCAGAAACTCATGCTTAGTCTGGTCTTCTCCATCCAACTGTTGATAAAAGACAGCAAACTTCTCAATCATGGTATCATACACAACCCGAGGTCTTTCCCATGTAACCAGAAGACTGGTATAATTCTTTGGATCAGATTGGACATTTTCAGGTTCTGAGCTGCAAACTGAAAGAAGGACAATAAAGAACATGATATTTATTAAATGGTAGAAATTACTCTAAAGATCTTGATCCACTTCCCATCAAAATTATTTAATGTCTTTCATGAGCCTCATTTTCAGCTTTCTCTTGAAATATCTGAGATGGCATGCACTATCAAAAGATATAGAGTCCTGATACTAGTTAAGCAAAAGCAAGTTAATTTGAGACTTCTTTCCCTCTCTTTTTAATATTGTATTTTGAGAAAGATTTGTGTTCAGTTCGTAGAAGCTTTAGAAGAGCTGCTCACTCTCCCAGCAGCTTCAACAGATTGGAATATGTAACAGATTCTTTTTGAAGATTGAAGGTAAGTGTATCATACTTGAATTCTGAATCTTTTAATAGAAGAGATGAAAGACTAATGCAGAGGGATAAGAATGTATAAGATTAGCTGGTAGCTATTTCATTTGACTACATTTCACCATCTAAACTGCTACTGAAGAAGTCTAGTAAGAGGCACCAAAAGAGTCTGTGGATGCAATGTAGAACAACAGGCCTGAGTCTACTCCTCATCTCTTGCCCTTTCACACCACCTTCCAACCAGAACCTCCTTTGCCTTCATTTAGCTTGAAAAACATATGTAGGTAGAATTGGCTTCCAAGAGGGAGGTTGAAAGAAGTGGAGAAGAGGAGTATGAGACACTTTGAGCTTGGCAAAATGAGAATGCTCTCTAGACATTGCCAGCCTGCTCCTATCATCATGTTCTAAGCATTGCCCTGGATATCCCAGCTTGTTGCAATTCCAAGCCCACTCACGCACACCTTCTTGGTAAGCATGGACCTCACACTCCAGACAAACTCTGGCCAGGCAGCTATTTTTGCATGTGTCCAGTTTTCCCCCAGTACTACATTTTTCACCTTATTCAAATAAGCTGAATCTTCTGATACATCACTAGATATATAGAGATGTACTGATTACCAGCATGCCAGAAATGTGCTGAGACTTTGTAATTTGTTATTTAGATCACGCAGGTACCTGTGTGTAGCTTGAAAGTAATGTACAAGGTCAAGGTAGATTAACCTCTGTGAACAAATTGCACCAGCAGCAAATGCAAAGTATTTATCTGAAGGTCACTGAAAAATGACTGACAGATACAGGAAAATACACACCAAAACAATGTACAGCTGAATCATTCATGGCTGCTCTGATTTCAGGCTGAGATCATTTTTTTTCCTTGCTTTCATCATCTCTGTTGGTGTCAGACATGGAACTGATGAATGTCTAAAGTCTTCTCTAATTTTTGGTTACCAACTGTAGATCAGAGCAGCCAGATATGAGCTGGTATACTAGAATGAAAGCCAGGGGTCCCTAACATTTGCTGTTATAAATCCCTCCTCTTATATGTTTGAAACTGCAGATGCTAAAGACTGTGATTGAAATATTGAGACTAGATTTCTGCCTCTGTCCTAGTTTTTTGGCGTTTCCTATATTTGGGCACACCCATACTGAATTTCCTTTTCTATTTGCTTTTATATGTACCGAAAAGGAATATTATTTAATCTATTTTTTCATTTATTACCTTATCTCTATTGCTATATTTTGTCTACTAGGCAAGTCAAAATTACTGATGAGAATATATGAAAAATATCATTTAATTAAATATTACACATGAAAATGTCTGTAAGGATATTGCAAAGTTTTAACTGGACTTTTGCACAAGTAATTAGATGGTCATTCCCTATTTGTAATAAAGCAGGAAACATTTCTTGAATCTAAGAACATGTTTAAATCAAACTGCGAGTATCTAGTAAGAAGCAAGGAAAGTTATCCAGCTAATTAAGAAAGTGAGAGTTGTAGATTCTTTGGAATTCCCATAAAGGAAGCAAACATCATGATACTACAATGTTTTTTGGCCGACAATATCACAATTTGAAAATATTCCATTAACTTTGCAATTTACCACTCGAACACTAGAGGGCATTCAATACTCAGAATTTTGAAACAGAAATTTCTGCCAGTCTGTATGCAGGTGGGAGGTTCTGCAAATTCTGGTTTGAGTCATTTAATGGAAGATGTGCAATTTTTGTGTGTGTGTTAATAAGAGGAAGTGTTGGTCTGTGTAATTCAGTTTGAATTGTACATCTTACCAGGCTCTGACTCTACTGTGCTACTTAGTCGGCGTATCATTTTATTCATTACACTGAACATTTCTAATTGAAGTAAGCAAAGAGCAAACTAAAAAAATAAAAGTAAAAAAATCAAGTTGTATACACCTCATTCCATTACTAAAGCTTGTCCTCCCAGTTCATATCCACCAGAGGGCGCAAGGAAATCATTAGACCAGCAAAAACGGTTCCCTTCTTAATTCTGAGCATCATGTATACCACAATTTCTTGGTTTATTTTATTCATTTATTTAGATTATATATATATATAAATCGAACCACTATTATATTTTGCAAGGTATTTAAAATAACTCACCAAGTACTTTTTGTAGTATACCTGCCAAACTTTTCCTTGGTCCGAACTCACATTGCAAACTTTTCTCTATTGCCTTTTTTTCTCCCTTCTCTTTTGCTCACCAGAGTGAATCTGGTTCTGACATCTTTGACTATGCTCAAACTAGCTATTATAGAGCATTTAAAGCTGGAATTGTCTCCAGTACAATTTATTTCACTTTGACTCTGTTCTCTTTTCCATGTTGTTCTTCCAGGTATGTTTTTCTAAGGAAAGTGAAGTTCTCCCATTTGTTTTCACTTTTTTGATGCTTAGTCTCGTTCCTCTGAGCAGCAACCAACAATATTCCTGCATAATAGTTGTGTGCACCTTGTTGTACCCTGAGTCCTTCCCAAGCTGTTGTCTCTTCCCCCTCTTCAAAATTTTGTCTGTCATGCTGCCTGTGCTCTGCTCTTGTCCTCATACATTTTCCTTCTCAAGGGCTTGGTAAAGCCAGGAGGTCATGTATCAACATCTCTAATTAAAGACTTCTGATACAGTTTTCAAAAATCTGGGCAAAGGGACTACAAGGAAGGAAGTCACAGATATAAAACTCTTTTTTTTTTTTTAATTTTAGTCTCAAAACAGCAAAATACAATTCACAAGAAGTTGGAGGCCTACTCAAGGCTCTGCTGGGCTTGAATTCAGGTCTCTGCTTTCCATACATGAGTATTCAGCTGCTGGTTTTGAATATCATACTGTAATGCACCTATCTTTGCCTGTTCTGTGAAATAAAACACAATCCATCCAGCTTCAAAGTTTTTCATGTCAACTGAATTGCACCATTGAGGAAGATAAGATACTTTAGCATCATCATCAGAAAGTCTATGCAGTGTATGAGTTGATCAAATTTGTGTTATTCAAATATAAAAAGAAAAAAACCCTGGATTTTATCTTTCTCTGAATTTGATACAGAGTATTACTGAGACATAATTGGATGCCTTTTCTTTTCTTTACCTTCTATTTGTTGATTACATTTTCTTTAAATTGAATCTGGATTCAATTTTATTTTTTTTTTCATTCAAATTCAGGTTTTCAGTTGTGGAATCACTGCACTTTGTTTAGACATCAATGACTTTTTACTTTTTAGATTCCACGTTACATTCCATTTCCTCACCAAGAATGTTCAGATGGGGATTTTGAAAACTTCTGAAAACACTGCTGAAACTAGTTTTATACGTGGATTAGAGAGATACTTTTAGCCCATCTAGCGAAATGTAGCTTTATTTGAGAAATAAATGAAGTAATAACAAAAATAAATCACACACTGAATTCTACTGCCTAGTGAAAGTCTACAATGTATTCAACCGGATAAAATTGGGATGCTACCATTCTGTAATCTCAAAATCATTTTTCGTGTAGTTACTTGAAACTTCCATATACTGTCCTGGTCACATAACTTTCACAGGCTTCCCCAAGGTTTTAGGTAAAACAGAGGTCAGAATCTGGCTTTTGGGATTCACTCCATCTATCACTTTCTCAGTAATCTACGTGAAATGAATTTGGTGATGTCACATTCTATTGAAGAAGCATGCACGTTATACAACTAAGAACCAAATGGGTTTGTAAAACAAAATCCTCTTGCAGCCCCTGAAAAGGCAGCTTTGTTTAGGTCTGAGACACATTAAAAGGGCAGTGCAAGAAAGCTTGAATTGACGTGATCTTCACTGAACGTTTGGTCAAGACAAGCATTTAATTTTCCACTCCATTTAATCTGACATGTTTTATGATTGCCAGTTTTTTTCTTTGAAGTGATAGATTTATGAATAATAATACACTGTTCTACTTTCCACACAATTTAAAATGAGTATTTTCATACTAGGATGACTCTCTTACTGAAAATCGTCTTTCAACCCATGAAAAGAGGAGTGACTATTCAGTAAATACCTGCTTCATGAATTTCTTCTTGTCCAGTGTAAGAGGAAAACACTTGCCCAGAGAACTTATATCGCTGCTCTCGATAGTTGTTTTGCAGATAGTCCATCAGCATCACATAGCCAGACTGCTGCATCGTAAGGACTTCACAGAATACTGCTAACTAGAAGAGGTAATTAAAAAAGAGGTTGGAAGTCATAACAAATCAATACGTTTCTTCTAAGAGGCAGAAAAACCCTGGGAAAATGGCACTGGGAAATTCTCCCTGTTGAGTTTCTTCAGGATGCATTGAAATTCTGCTAGTCTGTATCTACTGGTTTACTCCACCTGCACTTCTCAACCATCCTGCTGACAGAGCTATGCTCTGTTCAGTGATTGGACAGGAGAACACCTAACGAGCATTTTCTTTCCTTTCTGGACCAGAGGTCCAGAGGTCCAGACATGTTAGAGAGATTACTTTTGATGACTGTATGAAATACTTAAAACTAGAGAAAAAAAATATGCCACTGTTGGGCTGGCAATAAATGGCATCATTTTTTTACTATACGCATTGTAACTGATTTTCTCTGTTATGATGTATAATTGTTTTATTTTAATACATTAAATGAATTACCTGGTGCTCCGAAATACTAATAGTATCTTTGAACACAATCCATTCAACTGTTTCCGAGCAGGGAGGAGTTGATAAAGACCCATTGTAAGTGTAATATTTGTCTGTTGCGTTCGGTAAAAGGTTCAGCAAAACAAATGGTTCTAAGGCAGCCTGTTTTCCTGAAAAAGAAACCAAACATTTTGTAGAGTAAAATAGTAATGAATAAATAGAAATCACACTATCCCAAGGAGTTACTATTATGGAACCTCACTAATTTTGAGGCTATTTGGAATCTAATTTTCAAAGAGGGTAGCATAAGAACAAATTGCCGCACTTTTTCTATTTAGATTGAATATTGTTCAATACAAATTTTGCTTATTTGGAGTATAACTATAATGGGTTATTCCAGTAACAAATATAGAAACCAGCATATTTGTTCACAAAATCTTGTTCAACTGAGTGTACTAGTAATCTTCTGAGATGCCAAAATCTTGTCTCACTCACGAACTTCAAAGAAAAAATGTTAAGTCTTTCTAGTTGATCTCACCACATGACTTCAAACTCTCCCTGAATTTGGTCAAGTTGTTGAGTTTCTCACAGGACCTTAACTTCTGCAGAAAATCTCTGCTGGTGGAACTGTCACAGTGACAAATCTGAGAGCTGCATTACTCAGGTCTGCAAAAGCAGAAATTCATTAGATATGGGAGTTTTAAAATAGCGACAATAACAGCTTTACAGAAAGCAGAGAAGGATGCAAAGACCTTCTCCGGGAGTGTGTGACCTCTCTGCTTACTTTCCTTTGAAAATAGTATTACTTCTTTCAGGTCAGCAGTTTACCTGGTACCTTGTCTGCTGGGAGCAAGCATGATGAATTGCTCCGTCCATCCACAGAAAGCTAAATCTGTGCTGATATGGCAGTAGAGTCCAGCACCAGAAAACAGCAGAAATGGTACCAATTCCCTCTTGACAGAATTTTTCAGTTTATGACAATTATCAGTGATCTACCTTATGGATTGGTGTATCCAAAACAATACTTGTTTTTCACACTGTGGAGTACTGCAGATCCTCATACACTTTATTTCAATTCAAAGTATAACTGATTTTAGATGGTGGCCTTTTGAAAATATTCACTTATGAATATTTAATATATATTCAGACTGTGCATTAATTTGTGGTCTATTACTTTTAGAGTCTTAGGTGGATTTCTGACCTGTCCTTGTCTTCACAGTGAATTACATTAGCAGTTTATTACAGATCATTGTTGCTTTTGTTTCTGCACAGTGTGTTTCAGAGTTAACATTTAAAAGCTAGCTCTTCCCTCTCTTATCCGCATATGATGAAAGGGAAACTTTTAGCAATGCCAAGCAAAGCACATCCTTTCATTCCTCTTTTTAACACCTTTAGACAGTAAGTACCATTGTTATCTGATAATGTGTTTTGCTGCTATATTTTTCCTAAAGAATGAATGGTCAGTCCATGCTAGGTAGAGGTTTGGGGACATGAAGCTTCTCATTTATAGAATGAATGCTGCTTTAGATCCTGCAAGTTTGTGTTTTAAAATGCCTTTGAATATACAGACAGCCTAGATTTTAAAATCAAACACCTCCAAAGAATTAAGAAAAAGAGAGAGTTTATGTGGAAGGAATAGGACACCTCTGCACAGCTTGGGAATTCAGCAGCTGGGATTCAAATACATACAGTACAGATGTGACTGATAAGGACAAATCATACACGTGGCAGGCAAGGAAAGATTGTGTGCTATATGCTTTTCTTTGAGATGAACAACTTGATTTACTTGTAACCTGAATTTTGAAAGCTCATTTGCATTTTATCCAAGAAAACCATATTCTGCTCATTGTTGAAATGCTATGCAGTGGCCGTAACTTCTGTTACGTAAATTCTGTTGATAATTTACAGCTCCTATGCAAAGCTGTAGCACAACATCCGTCTTGATGTATTACTCACTTTCCTTTGTATTTCACAGAAAATGGCATACAAAGATAGTGAATTCTGACAGATTTATATGTCTCCCTCCTCTGTCTTTGCAATCTACAGAAGTTGCTCACTCTTATATTCATTGAACATTTGCTCTCAGAAGAAAAACAATTTAGTGTCACGCATTTGAAAATTCTTAAAATAGTGACATTAATAGCATTTAACACTTCCAACTCATGTGCTAACACTTTCAACCAATGCGCTTTTCAAAACTGAAGCATCATTATATGCAGGAAAACTGATGCAATGCTGGACGTTTTGTCAGGGTCATGGCCAAGCATGGAACAAGAAAATATGCAGAACATCAGTCTTTTGTGTTTATTCTTCTGTGAAGCCACTATGAAACAGAGTTAGAAAGAGAGGTCCATGTGCTTGGGGTAAAGCCATAAGGAATTCTAAAGCAGCGTCATGAGATGGTATAAATAATGCTAGTATAAATAAAGTCACTACAAATCTAATATAATTGAATTATTTCAAATTCACATAGCAGCTACTGAAATAAGCATTTCTCTCCACTGGGTCTACAGAATACTAATATTCAGGCTCAGTGTTTGTAAAGCACATCTTGGAAGGGCTCAGCAGTGTCATTTGGCTTCCAGCCACATACGGTACTCCAGAAATCTATGCCTCAGAATATTCATGGGATAAATCAGACATTTCACTTGACTTAGCATTTTATAAGTTGCAAGTTCTTTGGGATAATTATATTTATTCATCTACACTTAGTAGTGTTGTTACAAATATTCAGTCTTGAAGTAAATTAAGTCTTATTTCTAACAAAATATATTCATCTATGCTCTTGAGACCTGTGATCCCCAATGCCTTTAAGCTTTCATAATTATGCTGAAATTGAATTTAGTCTAACCATTAATCAATAAAACATGGTAGCAGACTTACCAAAACGACTAACACTATCTACTCCATTAATGATTGGAATATAATCCGGATTATCTTCTACTCCAATCTGTTAAAAAGAAATTGCATTTTTTACATCACAGACTTCACAGAACTACACTTCTTAAAAAAAAGAAAAAATTGAAGGTTGCAGTTTACCACCAAAATTATACATGGCCTAACACAGTGCATAAATATTTGCAAATCTGCTTATTTTTGGTGAAAATAAATAAGAAGAATATATGCAAATTTTTAACACAGTGATCACACATTAAAACCCTTTAAATTCATTTTGAACATCTGCTGTTTCAAAGCTTGATAATGACACATAGACATTTTTTTTACCTCAAACAAAATTGATAAAGCTCTTAACTTTCCATTTCCTTTAATTGCCTCTTCGAAGTCTGTAAATAGATCTCCATCATAGCAGTAGATTTGCATCTGCAAAAAATATATGTATTAACATATATTACATATATAGAAACAATCAATGCAATTATTTTTATTCCTAGTTTGAGTATAAATGTTCAACCAACATAACACAAACACATGGATATGTTATATATCTCATGTGAATTATCTGAATATACAGAACACAATTAATCAACTGTTACCTGTCTAAAAAGTTCTATACTGGAAAATCATTAAGTCTGGAGGAGCTGTCCTTTCAAGGAGAACATCATTATCCACGGCAATACAGCAAGCCTGGACAGCCAGCTGATACCGTATATTTAATCTACAGTACTCAGATGAAATCAGTCTTGCAATCAACTGTAAAACACAAATAATAAAGCAGGGTGTCCCTCCTGCACCTGCCTTGCAGTAAGCGTAAAGAAACACTGGTAATAAAAGATTCCCTAGGATTCTGTGCCCACATTTGCTGTCATGGGCATTGGGTTTGTTGCATCCCTTCCTCTCTAAGTTTGGATGCAGTTGGGAAATCTGCCAAGTCACTGACATGAAGGAGACAGCCTTCTGCTGAGAGTGACGTTTCATGTGATGGTGGGTGAGGTAAATCTTTTCTTAGATGTCTTGGTGGGATAGATAGAGTATGAGTGGGAACTTTAAATAGCTGTGAGGTAAAAAAAAAAAAGACACCTCCCAGGGAAAACTCCTAGCTCACAGCTCTCCATAGAAAACAGGACAACATTGGTCTAATGCTTTGCTCTAACACAGAAATCCAAAGTGTCTGAAGTGTGGAGCAGCTCCTGGCTCTCAGTGAAGCCTGGGTTTGAAAAATCAGTTTCAATATTAAATACTCAACCACTGGGACACAAGATGGGCCAAACTTGTGGGGGCTTAAACTTTGTCAGATTAGCAGGACCAACTCCCAGTGTCATCACAGAAGACACAGGAAAATGCAGGTTAGACATTTTCAATGGACTAATACCTTACACTGCTGCTCTCAAGTACATCATTCGAATATTGCTAATCTGGATTGAAGTGATGATTAAATTCGCAAGTAAGCTTTAATTATGTGATAAACAAAGGTGCTTAGTAAACAATGTTACTCTTTGCAGAATGACAAATTGTCAAAATCTATTCTATACTCTACCTCAAGAGGAAATTTTTGTCCTTCCAAGCTATGTTCTGATCCATCCGATGACGCATTGCATTTTCCCCAGTGAAAAATGATCTTGCTTGCTTTGAATACAGTATCTAAGCCACCTCCACTTACATAGTAATCATTTGTCAGGTTAATCTCCACTAAACAAAGAGAAAGAGAGGAAAGCAAACACACAACATTGTCAATATAAAAGCTAGTCAAGGCATCTATGACTCTCATATTTCAGAACAGGTGCAAACAGGCAAATATGAAATGCTTATTTTACTATATTTTATACGTAATTTGCCAGGAAGTTGGTCATTTAATGAAAAAAATGTGCTAATTCCTTATTAACTTGGAGAAATATGTTTCATTTCATGCTGTAATTAATAAAAGTATACTATTTTTCATCTCTGAAAACTGGCTCCACAAATATGCTGAAAAGCCCAGAAACATTGTCTTAGCCAACTTGACCTTCCAAGAAAATAAATTCCTAAAATACATAGCTTTCTGAAAGCACCTGAATTTTTAATAAAAATAAAAAACACCCCAAACTTACTGTCACAATACTAGATACCAATTCTAAAGGAAGATAGGGAAAGAAAGATTTAGCCAGTTACTAGGAGGGCTGTCCTATCTGTGAGCCCCTTTGGCTGTGGGGCAGTCTCCCCTGGAAATAAGTGGAGGTGAATGTAGTGGATGCAGGTGTACCCAGCTGAATGCACTTTTCAAGCAAGTGGCAAGGTAATGGGAGGAAGTGACCAGTCCACATAGAATCCAGGAATCTGAGTGAGAGATTGACGAGTTGCTTTGTATGTGGTATCTAGATTCTGAGGGTGGTAAAGCAACGGCACAGTTACCCAGAGAAACTGTGGATGCCCCATCCCTGGAGGTAATTAAGGCCAGGTTGGATGGTGCCCTGGGCAGCCTGAACTAGTGGGTGGTAATCCTGCCCATGGCAGGGGGTTTGGAACTTTAAAGGTCTTTAAGGTCCATTCCAACTCAAGTCATTCTGTGCTTCTAATTCAAATAAAATAATATAAAATAAAATAAAAGGGACTGATCCAGGAATTTTCTGGGCACTGCTGTGAGACAAAGATAGAGATAGTTGTTAGAAGATGTCTCCCTTCATATCAGTACCTGAAACAAGTTATAGTGCTTCCATGAAGCTGCATTTAGATGCTGCTATCCTAGGTTTATAGCAAAGTGGTTGAAAAATATTTGTCTGACAATATATACGCCACCACAAGCTTCTTTTACAGCTAGGAGAAATAAGCCCTTGTAGCCACAGAATCACAGAATTATAGAATTGCTCAGGTTGGAAAACAGCTTAATGATCATCAAGTCCAACCGCAACCTAACCATACTACCCTGACTCTAACAACCTTTCACTAAATCATGTCCATGAGCCATGAATCATCTCTTCCTAAAATACTTTTTAAGATAGAAATGACAGATCAGACCACAAAAGCACCTGTTTCTCTCTCTTTTTTTTTTTTTTTTAATTTGAAGAAGGGAGTTGAAGTGAGTAATTCATATATAATGTCTACATTACAGGTGTTGATGTGTCGATGAATCCCACCACCATTAGATTTTTGAAACTACAACTGGTCCTCAAAGTGCTTCCAGATGAGTAATTTATTTGTATTTAAAAAAGGTTCATTTAAAATTCTAGATACTTAGTAATAGCTATCATTAATTTGTAGAAAACAGTAAATTACTGTCCAGCTTAGTGAAGTGCTCACGATGGTACAATAGTAATGCTGTGATTTCCTTGGCTCTATCTGGAACATTATTTTCATTTGTGCTTTAGTAACTTTCTATTATGCTTGGCTATAGTCATCACTTGTATGGGTTTCTTTTCTATTATTGTTATTAAAATGATAAATTCAGAACACAAAGGCTATGGAAAAGGAAAATGAAAAAAGTTTAATTAAAAATCCACAGCTTGTTTTCCTTTATCACTTTTAAGTACTCTAAACTCCAAACATGAAATGTGATGTTTTACCTGTTTTGCCATTGTTGCGAATGAAAGTATCTTCTCCAGTTTCCTTTTCCCATCCATGGAATTTAAGTTTCTTTAGATTCACATTCACTTGGGTAAGGTCTTCATCTATATTAATAGGAGATTGTTTGGCACCATTGCAAGCTGAATATTTTTTTCCCCAGTCCTTTTGGTTCAGAGTTCCTAGAAATCAAAACACTGCAGTAAATACATTTAAACCTAAACTGATATCCATATATTTTTCCATGTGAGTAATTCAAAACACAGTCTGCAATCTGTGGTCAGAATACCTTCTTGTCTATGGTTTCTGCTGCAAAAACTGTGCACAAGTACTGTTGCATTCTACCTTCAAGAATTAGGTCACTTTTGATGATTTTAGATATCATACAGAAATGATTATAAATCTCTAGGGAAAACAGAACACAACAAAAATGCCTCAAGCACAACATACAGAAATAATAAATGAAATGGGAGAGAAATAAGCTTTTAGATGAAAGAAACTGTCATTCAAAAAGAATTTGAAGTTACTGCAAAACCCTCCTTTCTAAACAACTCTTTCATCACCCAAATGTCACCAACATTCCTTCTGCCTGATGAACTCAATCAGCCCAGAAGATTTTTAATAAATAAAAGTATGATCTTTAAAGTAATCCTTACAGAGAGAAAAACAATAAGTGATTTTACTCAGCAAAAGGAGAAAGTTTGTGATGTTCTGCCCAGAGAGGCTGGCTATAGGGCCTTGCTTTGTCCATGAAGGACAATTCAGGGGTAATTCAGCCATCTCTGATAGCTGTCAGGAGGCCCTGTGCCACAGCAGGCACTTTCTCCAGGGCACTGGACTACACAGACACAGGCACAACACACTTGAACTCCATAATAATTGAGCAAGTACTCTACAGACCAGTATGAGAAGTTAGCAGCTGCCCTGAGAATCTTTGGATTGTATATTACAGTAAGATAAATTAGACAGCATTTTGGTGGTGTATGCATTTGCATACATACAAATATTTTCTACTGACAAGGTATTTTGTTGGCATTTAAAGGGACTAATTAAAACCGAGTTTTGACTGTGGAGATACAAGAAAATATAGCTGCTTCAGTTAGCTTTCACTTCCTATTAGTTACAAGTGAATATTAGTGAATCCATTGCACACATTTAAATTCTATCATAGATGTTGAAATGAGCCATGGCTCATTTACAGGCTGCTTTTTTACATCCATGTCTGTCAGCGGAAGATTGGCTGTATTGCACCTCAGGCAAGGACAGCCCTCATATTGCACTCAGAAAACTCAGTGAGGGGAGAGGAGATGCAGCCAGACCTGTAACCATGACAATAGGCAGTAATACAAGATGCTCATCTGGATAGTCAGCTACCTAGAAACATACCTGAGCTAAATTATTCAGCAAGGATCAAGTCAGGTCAGTTACCAATATCACCTTGCCACATCAGAAGTACTGCAGGTCAGATGGCATGCTATTTACTTCTTTCAGTCAGGAACGGAAGAAGCTGCTAGGCACAGTGGCCAAGCAAATAAAAAAGTTTTAGTCACAGTGTACTGAAACTGAATTTCCTGCAGGTGGGGATTAGAATCCTGTTTAAGTGAGCAGTCCTTCCTTTGGGGATGGCACTGGTGGGCTTCTGGCTCATCCTCAAGTAATGCTTCTCCTGGGCATCTGCTGTGAGCTATCGTTTATTACCTGGACAAGCATTGCAATAACTTGATTTCTAATCTGATTTTTATATGAACAGAGTATTATTTCAGTTCTTATCTTTAAAGCTTCCCTTGAAAAATTCTGAGTCCAAGTCAACTTAAACTTGGAGATGAACATGCTCAGGCAATCTATAGAGAATTTTCTAACAAATATTGAAGGCGTTAAATAAACTGAAATAACGAACTTTTAAAACAGAAAATAGGGTTAGACAGGAAGAAATAACAATTCTCAGCTTTCCCTGTGCATCCTTACAGACAGGCACTTGTTTCCAGGTCTACCTTCAGCCAACTCTGTGGCTTTCCAAGCTGTCAGGTTGGGCCCGGCTGGCCACCCACTGCTGTCCCTCAGAATTAGGCTGCACTCTCCACTCTCATCTCTGCATTCTTTGTTCCTTCGTTCCCAAGGCTTCCAGAGGCTGTTGCTGTTTCAGGGCAATGCGTAGAGGGCTCCTTTCCTTCCACTGTCATACCTGCTCTCCTGGCTCACATGCAATCTCTTCTTCAGGATGTTATCATGACTCTCCACTCAGCATGCTTTTTCCTTATTCTGCTCCTTCCTCCAGTAACACCAGGATTGATGGAAAATCCACCCTCCTCACACCACCTGGGTGTGAGAATTCTTCCAGATTTCTTCTGATGAATGTAAATATTCTTGACTTGCATCTTCCCTTTAAATTCCCTACTATCCTCTATCAAATTCAACTCAAACAAATACATCAAATTTACAGAAACTATCATTTCCTCCCAAGTTTCTTAGTTTCATGTTTCAAATTCCTGCTTTGCAACGTAGAACATAAATTCTTTCTCTTGGTAGCTGTTATCTGAGCTGTTATCTGAGCATCAGCAAATAATATAACAAATCCCCAGCATGAAGCTAATTGTAACATTAGTAATCTACATCCCAGAAAATAGTGCTGTGTCAATACTGTAACCCACCACTGCGTCCTGAGCTAGAGCACTTGGAGTTAGATAGGATGCCAGCTGTAGGCACTATGGTAATGTTGTGATTCAAGCTAGGAAGCTTCTTCATTCATTCTAGATGTGAAGCTTGTTATAAATATTGAGAGGAAGAAAAAAGGGAAGCTGGAAGGCCTGATGAGGTGAAGAATGTTATTTCCTACCTCTCAGCTAGGCCTCAAACCTGTGATGTGAGCTTGCTACAAAGGTTTGATAATGTGCAGGCTTTTAATGTGCGGAAACAATTAAGTCAAGTGATTGTGATACAGAGATTCTCCTTTCATTGTTTATCCCTTACTAAAATCTTAGGACATCTCTGAATTCTTATGAACCCTCTATAAATTTTAGAACAGTGATTTTAATGTAATTGTAGGACACCACACACTCGCGTGTGCACATGGTAAGGAACTGATTGATCTATCTTATGTATGGAAAAAATGGAAATACTTTTTCTGCTGCTCTCTGGTTGACAAAAAAAAGTTAAGTCAGTCTGTCCTTGTTGTATGACTGCTAGCTGAAATCATCCAAGGATAAATGAAAAGTATTTCATGGTTGCAGAGGACAACAGTCTTCCAGCTAAGACAAATGAACTGAATGCCCAAAATCAATGCTCCTGCTGGAAAATCTGAATAGGTATTTGATGACTTTTAAACATTTTTCTTCTTTTTGGTCCAGCAGGTGTTTTGTGTTTTTTGTTTTTTAAATTGCTTACAGTTGCAGAAATACAGGTGACCTCAGTACTGAGAAATGCAGGCAATGTAGAAACTGTTTCATAGGAAAAAAAAAACCTTTGTACGAAGGAATGAGATGTGTACATTTTGTCACTCATGTGCAAAACTACACTTACTTAATGCTGCAGCATTGATCAAAAGCTATGGAATTAAATGTAAAGAAAATCAGTAACAGGCTCCATACTGGAGCAGGAACATGGGGAATTTCAGAAAGAATGGGAGTTCAGTTGTGATGGTTCAGATTATGTTTGAATAGCAGAATATATGTCTATGCATGTATCATGTTCTGCAGACCAATACAACTGGATGTATAGAGCAAAACATTTGGGTCTGAGGACCAGATATCCACACCATATGTTTTTCAGAAGGCTTTTAATTCAGCCTATCTCTGGTCCCATGGTAAATGTCCACTGGCAGATGAAGTGTATTTGATATATTGTTTCAGTGCTTCTCCTGTTTAATAGCAGTTGGGATGAATCCATGTCATACCTTCTGAGACAACTCTGCCTTGGGAAGCAAAGCTGGGAAAGTAGGAAGCAGCCATAAGATTTCCTCCAGAAGTCCAGTCCCAATCTGATCTAAAATGCTGATGTAAATGCATCCAGTGCAGCAAGCAGGTGGTGAAACTGCTGTGGTTTACATGACTTGCAGAAAGCCAAAGTAAAATCATAAGTACCAAATGTTTTTAAACAAGAGCAGATTGTTTTACTGTAGGTGTTATCATAGAAACCATAAATCAAAGCAGTGCCAGCCATCTTGAAAATATTGTTGAAACTGAGCTTTGAAAATGATTTTCCCCAAACTGTTCTTTGCTCGGAAGGAAACCTGAGGAGAATAAAAATGTGCATGATGTAATGTGAAGAGTGCACAGAGGAAGCAATGTTTGTCAAAGCTGTCAGCTCTGAAGAAGTAACTGACAATTCACTATGAATGAAAATGAGCCTGAATACAGCAGATGACAAGTTAATGGAAGACTGTCTATACCATCACCTTCACTATTCTTGCCCAAGGCAGAATGGCCAAAGAAAATTTGCCGACTCTGTTTTGATAAAATGTTATACTCGGCACTGCTCCTCATCCTTAGCCTCATGAGCCCATCCCTACAACAAGCATGCACTTCTTGTTTTGTGCTGCTCTTCTATCTCCTGCAGCCTTTGGAAGATCTGTCCCACAGAGTGTTACTGCACTTCTGTCTTTTGTAACAATACTTAAAAGAAAAGCATCTGTCAAACAGTTCTCCACAAGTTAGCAGCCTATGCAAGCAGAAAGAGCAAGTTGTGAAACTGAGTAGGCTGTGATCCTCCCAGCAGCCTGCCAGGAGAGGGGTTTCTCAGCGTGTTGATATGCTACTATGTGCCTGTCTGTTGGGCTGTAAGTCTTCACGATGAGTACTGCTGTTTGCTATGGGGCATCAGTGCTCCCTGTATGCAATATACGATTTATGCAGAATGGTCTTCTTATATCAATGGAAAATATATCTTCATAGAGAGAGAACTTAAACCAATTGAATGGGATTCTAAACATGAAATAAATACTCTGGATTTCCATTTTATACTGAATATGTGCATAGCTTCTGAAGAAATGGAATGTTACAAATAAAACTTTGGCTTTATGGGATTAATAATTATGTCAGAAAATTGTATTAGTGAGGAGACATATTTTAGTTGGAAAATTTTACTTGCCAGCACTTGTTTTTAGTAAATGTTGTTTGACATCACAGCCTTTGCATTCCTAGCTCTTATTAGGATCATTTTTCTTGTTAATGGACACACTCCTATCAAA